AAAGAAACGAAATAGCAGACTCCATCGCAAAAGCTACCTCCTCGTTCTGTTGTCCTTCTCCAACTCTAATTCCCTGGACCAATTTTTGTCCCCTATTAAAATCCCATATCTTTAATTTATGGCTCAACCAATGGAATAAACTAGTCCCCAATTATACCTCTTGGTACAAAAATATTTCACCATCTATACCCTTTTAACCTTGGTTTCACAACTTCAAATTATATCGTAACATAATTACTTCTTTTTCACTCTAAGATTTGGCCACACTCTACTACCTTCACACTCTTACAAACTTTCTCTCAATGACTCTCCTTTATGAATGTTACACGTCCACGATTCCACTATTTGTGATATCTCTCACATACTTTTTTACTGCCACTCTCTAGTTCCCCAACGCAATATCCTTATCGTCCTAACTCACTCTTTTATTGTTCCTTTCGATACCCGATCCATTCTCTCCTCACCAATTGTACCAATTATAACCTCAATTATATCCTTCATCAACCAGGCTGACTTAAAAATTTAATCTATTTGTTATATATTTCTCTATCATTAATTTTATATACTTTTCGTATTATATTTTATTCATTACAATTGTTGAAACTAATTTTTAACTAAGTTTCCTAAAAAAAAAAAAAATTCAGGCTGACTTAAAAATGTAACTATTTTATTTTATTTTAGTTGTTTTGGTTTTGTTTTGTTTTAATTTTCTTATTTTTATTTATTTAATTTTAGTTTTTTTTTTCTCTTATATATACACTACCTTCTTGTTATATTTTAATATTGCTTTAATTGTACTTAACTATACTTAATTGTCGAAACTAATTGTTATACAAAGTTTCTACAAAAAAAAAAAAAAAATATTATTATTTAATTGGGTAAATTGAAACATTTCGTGTACTTTGTTTATCATCAATACGTCATTATTCATTGCTAATCCTTGCATGTTTTGTTCCGAAAAAAATATTTTATTGATAGTCTATCGTCCATATATTATAAATATTAAAATACATTAGTAACCATAATTTTTTAAATATTATAAAGTCGGCAAATGTTATTAGTTGCCCCACCCATTCAAAAGTTGAAATGACGCCTCTGGAGGTATTCATAGTGAAAACTGAAAAATATGTACGCAACAAATAGATATATTATTCAATTGCTATGGAAATTAGTTTACTTGAGAAGTTGAGGGTGTACATTTCATAGAATTTTAAACATTTTCGGTAAACAAAATCAAGATTAGTAACTAGAGTTAGTCGTTTTGGTTTTAAATTTAGGTGGTTCTAATAATTAGTGTGGTTTCCTAAATATATTAAATTGGTAGCTTAAAAATCGTTGAGCGACGTATGAAATGCACACACTCTAAGTGAGAACAGACATACATACAATTATGTTTAAAAAACCCTAATTTAGATAAAATCTTATTAGGTATTGTACATAGCCAAAGGGGGTGCAGGATTTGCATTTGCATACCCTAAACACCTGTAAAAATAACAATATCAAATTTAAAATAACAATTTATACTCTACTTTTTTGGAGATTACTATTTTTTTTTTAAGTTCATTTTTGGACATATATATAGCGTTTCCCGGAAATATAAATGAAACATAAGAATATCGTACTCATGTGACAGGCGTTGTTAAATGTAATTTATTTGAATATTGTTGTGATGCATATTATCTAGGGCCGTTTTTGATGAGATAAAGGGAGAAATGAGGATATTTTGATCCATCTAGGGATTCAATTATTTCATACAGTGGTGTCTGAATACCCCTCTATACAGTGCCGCATTTAGGGGGAGGGCACTGGCTACAACTGCCCCGGGCGCAAAAATTTTGTGGTCGGAAATTTGCTCACTTGTGAATTATTGAACTTTTAAAATTATTATTTTTTTTTGTTTTTAATAACAGTATCATAAATAAATGTTAATGTATTTAATTTATTAATATATAATATTAATGTATTTATAGCAATATAGTTATATAAATATCAACGATCCAGAATATTATTAATATACCTAATATCAAAGGTGGGCAAGTTAATGAAAATAATTAATTGTGGCTAGTTAATTCAATTAAATTGTCTCCTGTTAAAGTTAAAATTTAACAAAAAAAAAAAAAAATAACTAGATAAGTTATAAGTTAAGATAGAAAATAAAATTAACTTAACTCAGTTAAAAAAAAGTTAATTTTTTTTCAAGTCATAATATTTGTCATAAATGGCACTGGTATTTTAATTTGTACAAACATTTACCTAGACGCTTAGCACCGTGTAAACATAAAACTTAAAATTATTATTATAGTACATACTATATTGTTACCAGAAGTTAGGCTAAATCTATACATAATGTAAGATTAATAACTTTAGCTGAACTGCAAAATCAATAACACAATATTATTTTACAAAAATAATCACATGTTAATTGTTGTAATCAGATGCTATTAAATACTTAAATCAATAATATTAAAATACCTTAATCTCCAATAATTCAACACACTCACCCCTCCCAAAAAAATAAGGATTGTATTATGCCCATAGACTAATAATAGATTATAAGTCTATGATTATGCCCAAATAGGCTATTTCAGGTTGACTACCATGTAGGGCAATGGTCTTCAACCTTTTTTGACCTGCGACCCACTTTTCTTACCAAACATTTTTCGCGACCCATGTAAATTTCGTTAGCCATGAAAACCAAATAAAAAAGTTAAAATTGTTTAATGTATGCCATTTTAGAAGTGCTTTTACAACTGAATAAATCAAAATTTATATTTTTTAGGTACCTATTTAAAAAATATTTAATTTTTAATATAAGTAATGATACAAAAAAAAATGCATGTAATGATACCGAAAAATGTATATGTTTTGATACACAAAAGAAATGAGTGCCATATTTGTCTTTCCGGACTGTTTTCACACGAAATACCTCCACCTCAGCTCAGTTTAACACAATGCAGTTTATAGATATATGAAATGTAAGTGATATTTATAAATTAAGTTGGGCTATCACTTCATTTTATTGTTCATTATTTTTTTTCTTTTATTTGAAAATTGAGTCTTCAACAGCAAATTCTATTTGATATTAGATGTTACACATTTGATGTGTTAGGTGTTAGATTTAAAATTACAATATTACATATGAAATATTATATAGGTGAAGTTAGATGTAAATTAAGATTTACTAATATAATATTTGTGATACTTAATAATGTGACTATTTTCATAGTTGATTTTTCGCTAAATACTTTTACTATGTTGGATGGCGTATTCAGGTCGGTGCGTATTGAGGTAAATTATGTACACTCCTCCACTATGTGTTCGACAGTTAATGATTAGTGGTATGTGTTGCATATTGGTTTGAGGATTTTTTTTCTAATTAAGTATAAGTGTTTGAGAAAAAAGTGTTCATTCTAATCTTCTACAAATTTAAATTAATATAAAATAGTACGGTTTCGGGTTTATCCGAAAACATTTTTATGCAATACCATATAACATACATTATATAATGTATATATAAATATGATTTTTTTAAATTTTAACAGAAAACTTATCGCGACCCAACCTTAAAGCTTACGCGACCCACCATTTGAAGATCACTGATGTAGGGTGAATTGACCCAACAAAGACTTTGACAAGATTGCCATTATCATTCTTCATAAATTCGATCTTATTTATTTGGGAAACACAGACGTTAAAATAAAAATAGATTTTATTTCATAAAGATACGTTTGGTATATCTGAACAACATTAGAGGAAGTAGTGAAAATTATTAACTTTATTAAATCACGACCTCTACAATCCAGGCTTTTTGAAGTCCTTTGCAAATACATGGGAAGTGATTACGTACAGCTTCTTTTGCACACTGAAATTCGATGGCTCTCACGTGGAAAAATTCTTCAGCGTTTTTTTGAGCTAAGAGATGAAGTTCGAGTATTTCTTCTTGAAACCAGATTTGTAGGCTTTTTAACTGATTTTTCTTGGCCGTCTCGGATAGCTTACTTGGCTGATGTGTTTGAATACTTGAATACACTAAATTTGAGTTTACAAGGAATTTATGTTGATGTTTTTCACGTTGAGGATAAAATCGAAGCAACTATTAAAAAGTTTGAAATTTGGGCAATACGTGTTGAAAAGAACTCTTTCAGTAACTTTCCGACATTACAAGCTTTTTTTGGAATCTTCGTGTGAATGTCTATCAGGAGGTAAAGAGTAAAATATCTGAACACATAGGCGCAACTAGGGGGGTGCTTGGGGGTGCTTCAGCACCCCCAGACTTTAATTTAGCATCCCCAGTTCAAAAACACCATAAATTGTAAAATCGCGTGAAAAACATAATTTTGTTCATTTTACGCAAGTTATTTTTATTTGTCGTTTTTAGCAGAAACACAAATTGTTTGTGATGATTATAGTTATACGTTATATCAAATATTACGTGATATAATATATTAATATCGACAATATCATAGCAGTCATAGATAATAAATTAGCAGCACGATTAAATATGTTTATCTAAGATCGTGGTTAGCAGTAATCAATTGATATAATTTAAAAATATGAGGGTTAGATAACAGATAAGTGATAAATGGATAAAACCAGTAGTTTATTTATAGAATACTGTCACTGTAGTTTATTCAATAAATCGCCAAATGTCATTGTCCGGCTGTTCCACGAATTAGCTATTTGTTTATCAAAAATCATATTATAATGTATACTCAATACTGTATACCGTATACGTTCTACTCGTTGACCATTGTCATTTTCTAAACCCATTACTGTAAGGTTGATGGTTGTAATAAAATATATTTTGTTTTCTCATGTGAAGTGTTTTAACTGTAACCTATGATGAAAGTCTTGAAATGGCTAGTTCGATTGATTGTTTTATGGAAATGGACTATGAAAAGAGTCAATACTTCATAAATCATTATAAAGTGTGTTATATTTCAATGCAAGTGATTTTTTTTATGTACTAATAATAATAAATAAATTAATTTTAATTTAAGGTTGTTATGAATATCAATTTGAATTTGTTGAAAGCTGAAATGCTTGTTATAAAGAACTGCTTACCTTCCAATTATAATCATGATGTTACTAAAGATATTTGTAAGGAGTCCACATTTACAAACGTGTATAAAATGTTACAAGTTGCTCTTACAATTCCGGTGAGTTCTGCTACTTGTGAAAGAAGCTTTTCCTCAATGCGTCGTCTAAAAAACTGGCTAAGGGCAAGTATGGAGCAACAGCGTTTCACAGATTTATCAATATTGAATATTGAAAGAGATATTGTTAATAAAATTACTTCATCAGAAATACTAGAAAAATATTCAACTACTAAAAGAAAAATAATATTAGTATGACATGTAAGAATTTTGAATTATATATTTAGTTATAAAATGTACCTTATAAAAGTAACTGCTAAAAATTTTAAATTATATTATTAATACATAATAATTTTAACAAATTATAAAATAGATTTTTTTATTTGTATCGCCTAAATAATATAATATATGTAATATCAGGTATATTACTGTTAGTATACTTAAATATTGTGTGCCATGTTTTTATGGTTCATTTAAGAATGGTTATAGTAATTATAAGATTTAAATATGGTATTTGGGGGTGTGGGGGCATAGCCCCCACGGGTCATAATTTTAGCACCCCCAGTGTTTGGCTTCTAGTTGCGCCTATGTCTGAACACTTATTGAGCATGGTCAAAATATTAAGAAAATATTTTCATCAACCTGACCCAAATAATACATGGATAAGAAATCCATTTTCCTGTGATATTGAAAAAATAGAAAATCTCTCTGAACAGGAACAAGATGAATTAATTGATTTGGTAACAAATGGAACGATGAAAAATATTTTCAACGATAAAAAACTGATTGATTTTGGGTTAATTGTTCAAAATGATCAAAAGCAACTGGCTTTTTCAAGCATGCAGCTGGACTTGGACGAAATTATGAACAAAAACGAAAGATTTCACTTGTCTCAAAAAATTTGAAGGTGGTTAATCAAATAATTTTTTTTATAAATATATTATTATTATTATTTTTTTTTTTTTTGAGAAAATTTGTTTGTTACGAAAATGTTTACAAAATTAAAAATTAAATCATATTGAAAATAAATCGTACCAATTTATTTCTCATTTTCATAATTAAATAAAATTGAAAAGTAAGTATTTACAAAAAAGGGGTCCATGGACCAATTTAAGTTATAACTAGGGGTCCGTGACTTCATACTAATTGGGAACCGCTGCACTATACATATAAACATAGCCCATGGGGGGCTATAGCCCCTTAGCCCCCCTTCTTGCTTACGCTACTGCGTCTAAGTATTTTACATATAAAACTACAGTCCGTTCCAAAAGAGAAGACACGAAGCGGCGACCGGTTTTCGTTCGGCGGCGCGCATCCCACACCCACGACTATTGTGTACACATTTTAATTATGGTGCATACACCGTCGGCAATGATCGGAAATAGACTATGTACGGTAAAGTTCACTGCGTGAAACAAAGCTAGGTTGAAGGGGAAAAATGCGCAGAAACCGTGTCTTCTATTTTGGAACGGAGTCACTGGCGTAATTGTGGGGGGCAAGTACCCCCTCTGACAATTTTTTGAAAGATAAAGGTATAATTTTGCCCCCTCCCCCCAGATAATCCAACAGTACAAATAGCACCTTTTATTAATGAACTCTTATGGATATTATTTAACAATATTGGTACCTAGTACATGCTACCTACGATTTATGTTTATCTAAACCATAGAATGAGTTAAAAGACTTAGGTAAAATCAAACAATTAGATATAGTATATAAAATACATACAATAAAAATATGTTTTATCGGGTGATGGGGAGGGGTGTCAGGGTTTTGGTAATAATAAATATATTATATTTCCCCTCTTAAGTTTTTTCCCAGTTACGCCACTGAACAGAGTATATGTATTGCGACGGTTCTCAGAACCCTATGCGGCCTAGAAATATATTTTAATTGTAGGATTTGAAGATCCTACAAAGTCTGACAGTTTTAGCAATCAGTGTAGGGGCTTATCTAGATAATTATCTCGATGAATAATATTATTATTTACTATCTTATCTAGATTAAATTCTACTGGTCATCTATTTTTTATCTTGGATGAAAAATTAAATTATCTATAATAGTTTATGTTTAAGTATTTATTTATTTTTACATTTTGTGTCCAAAAACCATAATAATGTACCTATATAAATATTATAGAAGATAAGAATATTATATATTGAGAAAATATATGATCATAATTTGAAGCAGCCACAAGTATAATATATCTTGATAGTACTTAGTAGCCAATAATTGTTGAATATTATTTTTTCCATTTATTAATTTAATGTAGCTACAGGTTGTTAGTTATTTCTGATCGGTTGTGGCGGCAAAAAAACACGACGATTTATAAAATACTATTAACTAATAAGATACTATTCTTGTTATAATAATGATAGTGTATTTCTGCGTATACATAATAATAAAATATACTTCAGTTTAATTTTATTATAGAATCAGATTATCAGAACACTATGTCACAGTTTATTATACAACGTGACTAGAAACTGTCATTATAATTTATCGTTCTCTTGTGTTCTTTTTGTTTTTTACCTCCTTATTTCAGTTTTTAACTAGTGATATTTAAAATATATAAGTATGAAGCGGTTTTTAGCTGAAATATCTATGAAGAATATAAAATAAATGATTCTAAAAAATAAAAGTGTATCCAACTTCATAATTTTATTTAAATAAACAAGTATAAATGCATATTTTTAGTACCTTCATATAAAATAACATTATAGATCATTAATTTCTTTCATTTTTTGAATTCTTCACGAAAAACATTATAGAAAAATACTTTTAAAAATTAACAACAAAAACGTTAATTTTTTACTGCACTACAGAGATTAAAAAAATGACTGTCGTTTTTCAAAATTTTCAGTAAGACGCGTCACCGATCTAGGTGCACAGTGAAGTGTGTGATGATGGGTCTTCAATCCGTTTTTCAATTAAAAATAAACAAAATAACTGCCGGTTCAAATATTATCAGGTTTACTGTTGCTTCCTCTACTTTTTTTTGGCGTTAAAAAGTAGTCCATGTTCTTTTTCAAGTTATGATCTTTCTCTGTACCAATTTCATCAAAATCAGTTAAATAATTTTGGTGCCCATCAGATAAAAACCGTTGAACACCTCATCATTATATATAATATATTTAGGAGTATTGAGGAGGTGATATTCAAATGGTATAATCCTTGGTAAGTACTACCAATTTATCAGTTTAATGGCTCAATTTATTGTTAGCTATAAAAGACAATGTCAATGTTTAAGTTCTAGAGAAAATTATAAACATTAGTAGTTAATTGTTTTAAATTACACTACTTAAATTTAAAAATATAACTTTTTATTTATATATTTTATCAGTAATAAGTTTAGATTCAGTATTCAAATTACTGAAATGCATATATCCCTGTGAATGTAATTCAAAGTAATACAGAAATCGATGAAAACAATGAATAAATAATAGAACAACATATTATTCCAATAACACAACAAGTTACTTTATGTTCAAACATCATAACAATGAATATAATTACAAATAATTGACAATTAATATTGTTGGTTATTTGAGATGAAATTGAAGTTCTTTATTCTTTAACATCAGCATCAGTATTTTTACGTAAATTTTTTTTACGTTTAAAAATATTATCAACTATAACAGGTTTGCATACATAATATCACAAAGACCTGAAAATAAAAAAAACCAAATACATTCAATTTTCCATCAGTATTTGAAACAAAATTAAACGATTTTCTAACAAATGAATTTAATTTGAACATGTATATAATTTATTAGTTATTAAATTAAAATTTTGAATTTTTTGAAATGCTGATGTGTTCTTATCTTAAAAGCACTGTCTAATAGAATTTGCTCTACTGAAACTCAACTGCATAAATACTGACAACACATGATATAAAATAAAAATGACTTCGGCATTGTTCACATTTTACTGAACCTTAATTTGTTTGAATCATGACATTTTAGATCATTTAAGATCTAAAATATTTTTTGTTAATTTATCATATTTTAAATTTTCTTTTTTTTAACTATACTTGAATGTAACATAATTATTATAAACAACTAACCAGTACATAGCTACTATAATGAGAATTGGGTATCAAATATTCAGTAGATTACATTCTCAATGTTTAATAAATTATTTTTTGTTTTTTTGCCACTGGTCAATGTTATCAATTCAGCCACATGTTAAGAGCATTCTGTAACATAATAACCAACATATTAAAATTGTTTTAAATTAATAAACAACAATAACAAATAAATAAATATAAATCTGTAAAATATAAATGTATTAAATATAAAAATAATAAATATAAGCTATATAAATCATCTACAATTATAACTCCATAGGGAAACATATATTAATATTCTAACATCAGACATTACTTATTACATTTTAAAAAACCATGTCTAGATGCCAGAACTATTAATTAAAATTTTTAACATCTTGGTATCACAATCATTCATACAAGATTGAAAATGGCCATTAATAAAATATTTACCGCACTTATAAAACCACGACAACTAAATTTTCTTAGTAAACGAGTGGCCTGTTTCAACCCAATGATCTTGAAACACACATAGACGAACAAATTAAATGAATTTAATGTTTGATTACCTAAGAATGAGTATTTTATACAAATCGTAAACGCATTGGCTTCGTTCAAATAGTCCTCGGAATGTCGCACGCATCGAACAGTGTACAAAAATATCACGGTTTCGGCGAACTACGAGATCGGTCGGCTGTAATGGTCAAACTAAAAAACACTTAACTAATATATAAGAGTATGTAGGGACTACAAAATTAAATAGTATGTTTTTTTTTTTTTACTTATTTTTTTATTTTCTTATAATTTATTACAATGAGAATTACAAATTATTGTTGTCATAAGATTATTTGGGCTTACAATATTCATATTTTGAGTAATTTATTACAATAACCTAACTGTAAAAACCTTTGACTATAAAGGCTTACATTCTAATTTTCTAATGAAAAAATTGTTTAATAACTCGACAAACAGAAATTTCAGAAAATATTGTTAATATTAAACCACTGTAATGATAATAATTATGATATAGAAATAAACTTAGTCAATGAATCTTATAGTTCTAGAAAAATTTTTTTGTTTAATACTAAAGTTGAAAAAAAATGAATTAATATAAATAATCTAAGAGCCCAAGTAAATTCAACCTGTGGTCTAATGCCTTTACAAAAAAAAAAATAAAAAAAAAAAAATAGATTGGTAATTTGTGACACTAAGAAATTATATTTTTTATTATTAAACCTAAATAAATCCAATGTAGACAAATAATCTTATTAAAGACTTCGTAAATGTAATTTTGGCTCCTTAAAAACTCGGGCCGGTTTAAAAAAAAAAATTGTTGACGGTCGGCGATGTGTGAGTGTACGTTTATCCGATCCGGCGACGCGAGTATACGGCGGCGGCACGATAATATATACACGGTTTTTTTTAATACGGCGTGTAACGCGACGAACCGCGAGATCCCGAAACTCTGACGGAAAAAGAAAAACATAATCGGGGATTAACCAAATACACTTATTTATACATATATATATATATATTTATATACACAATTAAAAACAATATTAATTATATTAAAACATGCAAATCTATTCATAACTTGAATAAACCAAAGTTCAAGTTATACAATAATTGTTAATTCTTTATTAATATTTTAAAATTAAAAGTAATAAATGCTATTACAATTAATATTTTGTAATTTTTTGATAAGAGTTTTAAGTTTAACGTCAAAACTTCTTACCATTAATAGAAAGTAACTTCAAAAGTTAAAAAAAACCAGTCCAATATTTAATAAAAATCAAAAAAATAGTAGACTAGAGTTTAAAAATACCAGTTAAACAGTAAAATAATAATTTTTTTTTTCATGAAATATATTAACAACACTACAGCATTTTTTTTTACACCATTATAAATTATACAAGGTTTTATCACTATCGAAAAAATTTCATTAGATTATAATATAAAACATAACAGAATTTCAAGTACCAAAACTTAATAAAAAAAATTTCAACCAATTGAATGATTCGAACATATTTTACTCCCCTTTAACTAACATAACACAAGCAACCTAATTATTTATATGCTGTGGATTGAATTAATACTTTTAATAATAACATTATTCACGAGTAATTAAGTTGTAAAAATTTTACTGTTAAAATAAAATATTATTCTAAATGTATAAATATTTGCTCTTTTGGATCAATTGCAAATTTCTATTGTATAATTACTTTTAATAAAAATTGAAAAATTTATCATTTTGTTTTACATGAATATCTAGGAATGAATTTCTATAAAATTCATGTTTCATTATCTTAAGATTCTTAACTTCTTAAGTCTTAGCTAATTTACATACTCGTGATGATATTGTATGCACAATTAATTGCACAACATTTACCTAATGATAATGATTACCTGTTTAATCATAGCATGAGTATAAATTATTAGCTATTTATATTTTTTATGATGAAAACAAAGACTTGTAGTTTAAAAAAAAACTTAACCAAAATGATCCCAGTTAATATTTAAGTTATTTATATATAACAGGGATGGACAACTCAAAGTAACTAGAACAATTTTTAGAACTTTAAAGTGTAGTGGGCCATAGTAAAGAAAGCAAAATGAAAAAAGGTCATTAAAATTGACAATTGGTGTTTCTTTTAATTAATTAAATATTATGACTAAATCATTACATTAAGCAAGTGCTTTACCTATAACAAAGTTAACTATGTCAATATGGATGATCAACATGAAAAAAAATTAGAAACTAATAACCGCTAAAATGTAATGAAATGATTTGAAAATGAAGCAGAGATCAGATAAAAAAATATATGGGGTACTAATTACCTATTCCTGATGCATAACAAAAATAATATTATCTTCATTCTTAAAAATTAAATTTATAAATTAAAATTAAATAAAAATGTTAAAAAAAATTAAGTTATTTTTGATAAAGGATACATGACATGAGATTATTATCATTTTTATTTCAATACAGAATCATAAAAATTGCATCAAAAAATAATATTGTAAAACACCATAAATAATAAATATAAATTGTTTAAATACAACTTTTTAATTAGTCTAATTTAATTTTTGCACATTTCTGGGTATAAATTAACCTAAATAATAAGTTTAATTTTTTATTACAAATAATTATCTTTTAAAAATTAAATATATTAAAACAATTATTATCAAGAAAACATTCCATAACTTAACAATTTTTTCAGATATTATATACTTTTTATTTATAACTTTCAACTTTAAAAAAATATTTTAGTTTATTCAATTATATTCGAACACATAACATAATTTATAATACGAAAAAATTATAATATTTCTTACTAAATTTAAGTGTTTTTATAAGTTATTTTAAATCATATAAAGTTTTTAGTATGTTTACATGCAAATTATGTTCTTTGTAAAAAGAAAAGCTACTATAGTCCATTCCAAAAAAGAAGACACGAAGCAGCGACCGATTTTCGTTTAGCAGCGCTCATCCCTCACCCATGACTATAATGTGCCACATTTTAAATACGATATATACATCGTTATGTACATATATTATCGATATGTACATCGTTGGAAATGATTGGAAATAGACTTTGTTAAATTTACTGCATGAAACAAAGCCAAGTGAAAGGGAAAATTGTGCAGAAACCGTGTTTTCTTTTTTAGAACAGAGTATAGGTGAACAAATAGATTTTGATAAAATAAGTATAAATCAAGTATTTTAAATGTTAATTATATAAAATAATTAACCAAATTGAATAAAAAAATTTTCATGAACAATAATAAATATAAATAATTTTTATTAAATTACACTTGCAGTATTTTAATTTAATATTAGCAAAAACTTAAGTAGTAACTATTTGTTCACTTGTAAATAATAAGTATACTATTGTTTTTAGCATATTTATAGTAATAATTCCAAATAAATAATGCTAGAACCAAAGCAGATTTAACAATTAACAAACAAGAAACTTACCGACGATCATCATAAGAATCTCTAGAAAAATCATCATATGCATGAGTTGAACCACTTGAAAAAATTTAATTTAAATTAATGACTTTTTAAAAAATATCAAATCAAACATAATACTTACGATGTACGGGTGCTTGATAATGGGGAGCGGCGAGTGAATACATAGTCAGGATCACGCATTGTTGTTCCAATACGTGTAGATGATGATAAATAATCGCGACTTGATGGCATCCTTGGCATTCTTCTGTCCATACCATAACCATCAGCAGCTGTTCTCATAAGACTTCGATCATAGTAACGATCATACAATCCATCAGTCTAAAGATAAAATTTGTAATGAATCTTAATTATAAGCAAAATTATCATTATATATCATTTACCTCATACATATGACCACCAAGTTCAGAGTGAGACAACATTGAATAATCGTCCATCTAAAAAATACAAATAAATAATAATATTAAATTATAAAATATACTAACAAAACATTTTTATATAAAATTGTTTTCAAAATTTTAAATTAATATTAAAAATAATAAGAATGAAGTTTTGTCTTATAGAAATATAAAATATAATTTTAAATTTATGATTAAAATTGTAATAATATAACCATATAAATTAGTTTATACTCACTCTAGTTAAATCAGTTTTTAGCCCAGTACCATAAGAACCGAGAATTCGATCACGAACAAATGAAGGCGGAGGTGGTGGTGGATAAAGTAGTGCACGTGGAGGTGGAAGGGGTGGGAGAGCATCTCTTCCATATCCATATCTAAAAATAATTAAAATTATACATAAAAATTTTCATATTTATTTATGATGACTATGAGTTAAAGAACAATGTGCGAAATAAGTTGTAAGGCTCACCCTTCACGACTGCACTCCCGAGACCAATGGCCACCCTTGCCGCACCTGAATAAAATTTCCCATTTTATTTTTGATGAGAGTTTATTTCATTTCATATTTTATAAATTAAACAAAATATGTGACTAGCAAGTTACTTCTAAACACATTTTCTTTAAACTAAATAATCAGTATTAAAATATACCTATAACACTGTTCTGGCATGCCCATTCCAGGTCTCTGACGAACTCGGCTATTTGAAATTTGCACCTTAATTGGTTGACCATCTAACATATGTCCATTTAAATCTTTAATAAGTCGACTAACATCAGTTGAATCAATATGCTAAAATAAATATAAATAAAATAATTCATATATATAAAAAAAAAAAATTATTATAGTAATAGTTCTAAGTTAATGAAATAAAAAACACTTGAACTAATAAAGCCACAAAGTTGAATATTATTAAGACCAGAAATTTCAGCTGACAATCTGAATTAAAACACATAAGTGTATCTGTGATTGGAATATTTGTACCCATATTAAATAAAAATATCTATATAATATATATATTATATAAACATGGATTTCTGTCTGTTTGTCCTTTATATATTCCTAAACGGTTGAACCAATTACCAGCGAAATTTGGTACAGATATATTAGACCTATGAATTAAAGAAAGGTTAAGTTAAAAAGTGATAGACCCAACTCTGAGAGGTACACAAACTGACATTTAGAGATTTATGAATGAAAGTTTTGTTTATAGATGGTAACTATTAGTTTCAATAATAATAATAATTAGTGCAAAAGAAATTACTAGTAAATAAAAAAAAAAATTCAAGGGTTTGTTATTATTATTTTTTATTATTTATTTTCATGGCACTTGTGTCTATGGCATTAAAAGGTTTTATTGATATTTTGTGTTTTATGTTATAATAACGTCATTTATAAATAGTTATGCATCCCAAAAATGATAGAGTGGTAGTTCTATGCCTCTAGTACAAAAAAAAATGGAAATAGGAGCTTCAAAAACAATCAAGCAAAGAGATATAAGATTGGTAACCACCAGAGAAAGTCAAGCTCGATTCCATTCATCTGAAACAACCGATCACCAAGAAGCAAGATTGGAAACTGACAGACAACTTATACAGAAAATCACTCACACATATTTGAATCTCATTCCATTACATTGTTAATTAAAATTACAGAATTTATCTAAGTATGGTTATCGGAAAAATAGATAAATTAAGTATATATTGTAGAGCATTCAAATTTAAGAATGAAGCAGCAGGTATGTGCAGTGCTGGAAGAAAAGTAAAATTATCAGAATTACATCACACCAGCTGAAATATTATAAACATTGGTATCAAGCAACATGAGCATATCAAAACATTTCTTAGCGAACATTCTGTATATCCTTTACTCATGAGTCGGAAAACCTTTCGATTTATTTGTGTATAAATATATATATTATTATTTAATTTATATATTTTTTTACCAGAAGGAAAAACAAAAAATATTATGTATCCAAATGCACTTCAATAAATATCATTCAATCGAATACTTGAATTGTCAGGCTTTTCTCGATAAAACAAATAAAATTACATAATGATAAACTGAATAATGTTGTAAGATTATTACATAAAATATTTTAACCATTATCTATCTATACTGCTAGCATAATCATGGGTAATTTAACACACAGTTTGACACATATAAGATGTATGATTTTTAACAGACTACGAAGTGCAAGAGTTCAGCTAGTAATATATAAACATAAATTTACTATACATGTTTATGTAATTTAATGTTATTCATGGATATTGTTTGAAGTTAGTTATTCAAAAAGTAAAAAAAACTAATATGAAATTGAACGAAGATTTTATATTATTTTTATTTATTTCAATGTAAAATGTAATTTTATAAACTTAAAATATCAGAACAAAAAAAAAAAAAAAAAACAATATTTCTATACACATAAATAATTACAGAAATGCACTAATTTTTTAAGTATAAGGTACTTTAGAATATAATGTTTATTTTGTGTGAATACATGACATATAACCAGGGCTCGGAAAATTTAGCAAATGCATATTTTTCTTGGCTCGTATAGAACATTCTAAGATACAAATATGTTTTACACTACTCAGATATTATACACAAAATTTAATTTTGTTATTTTTTGCATATTTACGGGTTATAGTGCTAATTTTGGATATAATTTCACATAATACAAGAAATAAACACACTTTGTTGATAATAATGGTATTTACTTGATTATAATTTTAAAAATAATTGAATTATTGATATTAAATAGACCTCATCAAATATTATTTTATGTTTTCACCAACAATTTTATGTATTAATAGTTAGTGACGTCATTGTTATTCCCTTATTGTATCATTGCATTAGATAATCAAACATTTTAATATTTCAAGGTAATTTCCAATTTTACATAAAATAATTTAATTATAAGTTTACTTTTACAAATATATTTAATTCATTTAACATTTTTGTTGACAGTTTAATTCAACCAGTCCAGACATATATGATTCCAAAAATTTTTAAAATTACATTTAATTTTTTTTCTAATAAATTTCTAATTTTTTCAAGTTAAATATATATTTTTTTAAAATTTTTGTGATATTTATAGCGTATATTTTATAGTTTTTAAATGCATATTTTAGAGCTAAAAAGTAAATTTTTTAATGGTACAACTTCCGAACCCAGCATATAACATAAACAATACAGGGAATTGATGAGTATTATAAAAAACAATTTATATATATATATGTGTGTGTATTATGTTACACTATAGTTATGTCACACAATGATATACAACACAATATTTCAGAAATTATCAAATTTTAGAAATAAACTTTATCAAAATTCAAACTTATTTTTTTTTTCATTTCTTATCTAATAAGTAGTATTATAAAAAAATAATAGATACATATGAAATAAATTAAAAATTAATAGTTTAAATAAAAAAATGATTTACTACGATAATATGGATGTAATTAACTACTAAATAAATTGTGTTATAATTAGGACTGGGATTTTGAAATTCTTAAAAACTTCAAAAAATATGCAAAAATGATATAAAAAACTCAAAAAAATTAATTCACATGGTGGCTACTACAACAAAACTTACTAAACAATATTGAACATTGATTTTCAGAATTTAAAATAGTTGTTTAATGATTAAAGATATATCATATAAACTGTCATAGACCCAGCTTATTATCTAAATTTTAATGTCAACCATTGTATAATATGTTGCATTTATATAAAAATAATGTTGGTGTATAAAAATTTTAAACAAGTTTTCAAATTTAAATTTAAGATTAAGAATCTTCAAAATGCCTTAAAAAAAAAAAAACATTTAAAATGCTTCAAAAAATGAAGAAAATGACCTAAAAATCAGAAATTATAAAAAATGTAAAATACATTTATTTTTACTCATTTAAAATTAAATGGAACACATTTAGACAGATGACTTATCATTCTAAGTAAAAAAAAATGCAAAGTGAGTCGAAATTCTAGTATTAGTTATAACAAATATTAAGTGCGTAAATTTAGAAAATATATGACAAAAATAAAGGCAAGTTAAAACAGTTTATTTTTAAATATTACATAATCATAAATAAAGTGTTGAAATGTATAGATTTTCTCTGTATACATATATATTTAATATTTAATAGTAATATAACTGTCATTTTACCATGAGCAGTACCCATAGGGTAGAGGATATTTTCTGAATGAAAAATTTGATGAACCACAACATATGTATATTAGCTATAATATAAAAATCACACGAGCTATACACTGTATTACAGCAAATAACAATATTGATCTCAATACCAATCAAAATTAAATCATGATAAAACAAATTGATAGGGACAAGTTGCATACACAATAGATCATTTTAGAAATGTACATTGGTCAAGTAATCACATTGAAAGACTACAATGAAGTAAAAATAAATAAATGTTAATTATTTGGGATGTTGTACCAAGAATTATGTATTCAAATATTATTTTATAATATAAATATAACGTAAAATCTATTATATTTTTATTTTAGTTTTTCTTGTAACTATGAAATAAAGTTTATTAAATGCACAGCACTTATTGTGAACTAAGCAATTTTTTCAAAATGGGGTATAATATATCCACTAAAAACTACCTATTTTAGTAGCAATATAATAAATTTTAAAAATAAAGTACAAATTTACTAACACAATTTGATTTATCAAAGATTAAACTAAGCAGATTTTAAAATAATAGCCATAATTTGTAAAAATAATTAATTATAACATACTTGGAACTTGAAAATATATGAAAACATGTATTGAGTCTAATCTTAAGAAATTATTCAATTAAATAAAATTTGCATAACATATCAAATCATCTAGCCTAAAATGTTGCGTTTTACTTTTGCCTTATGATTTTATGTTAATATTAAATTTAACTACAAGAATAATGAAAAAATAGTAGGTAATCAAGCATTGTTTATACTAATTCACTTTAAATATTAAAAACTTGCTTGAAAATAGATAAATTACAAATCTAAATTGAGCAGTATAATCATATTAGCAATCAACTAAGCTAATCTATCTTAAGTTGTGATTTTAAAAACTGCTAAAAAATGACTGCTAATAATGAGTATTTTAAGATATAAATAGATTACCCAAAAAAGAATACAAAATACACAAATAATAATAAAAAATATATTTTTACTTAACGTACAAACTAAAAGATTAGACTTACCACAAACCCATAGGTTCTAACAATGTCACACTCAACAACAGTTCCATATCTTGCAAATAATTCACGTACTTCATTGGCTTTGGTTGTTTCAGAAAGATTACCTACAAAAATTTTAGTAGTTGGAGTATTTGGACCTCGACGACTAGTAGCAGCTTCAACTTTCATAGCTAAGTCATTAACCATTGAACCATTCAAAGCTTTAATAGCTGCACGGCCATTATTATCATCATCCATATGCTAAAAATTAAAATTAAAATATTTTGATAAATTAATTAAGGTTTGAGTGTACAACAGAACTAGTATTTTACCATTATAAAATGACAGGATTATACTTTGGAAATACTTACAACAAAGCCAAAATTTTTCATAACATCACATTCAACAACTTTGCCATACTTCTCAAATAATGGCCTGATATCATTAGATGTGGTCTTTTCAGAAAGATTTCCAATAAAAATCTTAAAAGTTCGTACACTGCTAGTGTTGAAACTTGTGTTACTTTCAGTGTCAGAAGGCATTATTTCTTTTGCTAAAATATAATAATTATATACTTCAATAATTATATTTGTTCAGTCAACAAATTATTAAAAAATATAATAAGACACTAAAAATAAATTAAAACAATTTAAAAGAAAAATTACATATAGGTATATTAGCAATTAATTATAACTATGACACATGTACAGTTACATAATTTGTAACTTATTTTAATATAAATTTTATCAAGGTACACAAATATATATTACTAGATAAGGCCAATATTTGTCTTATTAATCTTAATAAAATCACAAGTTTATATGATTTATAGTACCTATAATGGTTTAATTCATGAAAGCAATTTATAAACGAAAAAAAAAAACATTCATAAATAAATTTAACACATTAAATAATACAAAAAAATATATAAGAACAACATAACATTATTGATGATTAATTAAATAGAAACTTGAGGCAAATTGTAAAACAAATGAAATTGACAATTAAAAAATTACCTAGAAAACAGTACCTATATCATCATAAGAATTCAACATGGAAATAATTACCAAATAAAGTGAATTACCTCAATAGAAATAGTCTTGTATTAAATGGATTTAATATAGTTACATGAAAGAGGAATAAGCATCATAAACAAACAGTCTAAAAGCGAGTGACTGGAGATTACTAGAAGAAAAGAAGGTAGTAAAATAATAATAAAGTCTACAGCACATACACACATCATTACTAACATTAGATCTAATGCATAAAACACTAACCGGTCGTTTCTTCGGCAACAGTGTCCTCTTCAGTGGTACAGTCAACCAATTGTCTGCCCCGTTTGTGATCAAAATCTCGCATTTCTCGTCTACACTGTAATGTGTTCAACTATTGTTGTTACAAATATTGTCGCGTGCTTACCACTACAAAGTAGTCATACACACTATAGTCACAGGACGCGGAAAATGAACGTCGGAGACAGCAAATGCTGCGACGTTAGGTGTAGTTGAAAAACGGTGACAGCGTTGACTATTTGAAAGACGGCTGTGGCGATCAATCGGCAAGCGGTTGATGTAACGGGATGGCGTTAGCGGAATACGCGGGGACGCGTTAAAAAACGATGATGTGATAGCAAATTTCGAAAAAAAAAAAAAAACGCGACGTCGATGTATTATAGTAAAGATGATGGCGATGAAGGCGTCGATGGATTACGGGCTTGGGTGAAGGAGGTCGGAGAGACGATTTTCGAGGAAACGTATACGAAATGGTCCGAATCTATTCACAATTGATTGCGCACGCGCGTGCGTGTATTCATGTATGCGTTAGTGTGCGGGCGTATATTTGAGGGCAAGTGTGTACGACGCGTACGTGTGTGAGCGTGCTTGCGCGCGTATGTGTGTATGCGTTTGGTGTGTGCAAGTCCATTGCATTGGGCTGCGGCGGCGGTGGGGCGGTACCTGATGAGTTGCCGACGCTGCCGTGAGAGAGAGCGATTGCTCGACGTCTCCGCATGCCCATGGAAAAACCTCACATTATTTATACCTTCCATGAGAAAAACAACAGGTGAAAAACTTGGCGGCTTATTGCCACGAATCAACATCTTGTATATACAGTTATTTATTTCAGCTAATTTTGATTATTATTCCGTTTTCATTCCCCCGGACTTAGGGAGCGTAGACGAATGGTCTCCAAAATGTTGTTAATTATTATTTATGTCACACTATAGGAAAATGCATAAATATGAATACATGTATAAATTTTGCCTCTGCCTTATAAAAGGGTCTATGTACTCCACTGCTTGGATCCTCATCTTCGTGAAGAAATGATAAAATCGGAGTCGATCGATAGGAAACGATCAATTACTTCGCCAAGGTTTAAATAACTGTTTTTAAATTTAGATATACATTTAATATTGCGAAATACTTGCAATTACTTGAATTAAATTGCCTACTACTTCAATCATTGGAGGACGTATGGTGTACATTTCTTTAATATTTACATCTAGTGATTAATCATGATCGACCATTTACTGACTTCAGTAATATACAATAATATAATTTGTGATAGTTCTTTAATAACTCGAATTTATCTTTTCATATTTGTGATAAAAAAAATCCAATATCTTATTTATCACTCATAGATTGTCAGGTCACTTTATAATATTTTATCAAATTTCCAGTAATTACTTTTTCCATAATAGTATAAGAATGGACATTAGTCGATAATAATTTATACAGAAATTAATAATTGGAAAAAGTATTAGGTTACATGGATTAGTAATATTTTTGATTCTGGACAAATTGATATTGTACGTGTAGAATTTATTTAAAAAGGAAATATCAAAAAAATTCAAGGTATAATATATTTTTGTGAATTATAATCAATTTTTTATAATAATTAGTGGATAAGAACTTATCAATCAAAATTACAAGTTATTTTTATTGAAAAATTTTAAATAGTAACTTATTTATAGATTATTTTTTTTCTTTTGAAACTAACAAAATATAAGAAGTTTTATTATAAAAAATAAATTTTTACTTTGTAAAAGTGCAATCAAAAACAATTAAATAGTTACTTGTTTTATTTATCTAAACATAATGCTGATTTTTTTTCAATTTGATATCATCCATATTTTTATAAAATCCAATAACATTGACCATAGTTTTTAATCATCTATAACATGTAGAGAATACAATACATTTTAGTCTATATTTATATTATTAATACATTTTTTGATCATTTAGATTGTGTTTCTTATTTTTGGACATTCATCAATTCAAACAAATAAGCCATAAAAGAATGAATATTTAAATTCCTAATCATGTTTAATGTTATGCTATGAATTATCATGATTCAGTATTCATACAACCTACTACAAATTGCAACTTAATATAATTGGCTCTAGAATATAATTTACACATCCACAATATACTGATTCAATAATATGATCATATTTCGTCCTCACATAGTGAAGTAATACAAAATATTTTTAATTGTATATCATCCCTATAAAATAATGAAATTCCTTTATAAAATTAATGAATAAGTTACATAAATATAGTTTCATTACTTTTATATAATAGTAAAATCTTTAAACTATTAAAAACTAATTTTAACAATTTTAATGAGCTAAATGAAAAATATATTAATATAATTATATGTACATAATATATGAATAATTCAGTGGCAAATTCTCCAGGCATACTCAGCATCATGCTTAGGAATAAAAACGTTATTAATCAAAATACAAAAATTATTATATAATCAATAATATTACGTATTTTAAAAGAACATAATGTATTACAATAATTTAATTTAATTGTTATACTTTGTAACATTTAATAATAGAGCATACGATAGATGAATACGCAAGCTTGTTACTGTTGTAAAATACCAGTTATTCCATGACCATCTCTACTAGCAGCTGCAGTATTTATTACCCAGGGCATGCTCATACTGTTGCACTTAGTCATTGTTATAATTTATAAAATTTCTGTGTAAGAGTGTATATGGTAATTTTTATTCATTTTGTTTTATTGTGCTATTTTTTAATAATGTTTAGTTAGTTAAATAGTATTTAAATAAGTGCTATTATATAAATATATTAAATTAAAGTCTTATTAATGAATTAATATAAATTTGTATTATTTATTAATTATAAATTAAAAATAACTATAAAATATTATGATAAATAAGCATGCCCATACATCAGTCAGCATTCGCCACTGGAATAATTATAGAATACAAAGCTATAAAGTTAAAAATAAAATTAATAGAGAAATGGATCAATTATTTAACATCATTAAGAAATTCTTCAGAGGAAAAACGAAATAAAATAGTAAAATAATAAACAGTGATGGAATTTTAAGCTAATTATATAAATTTTGAACATTAATTTTGTACAAAACTATGTATTATATAAATTCAAAAAAGGATAAATCAAAAAAGATTTTTTAAATCTTGCTCACACAAAAAAATATTAAGAGTAAATTAAAATATTCATTAATTGTAAGAACATGATTTATTTTCAGTGATTATATCTAATTCAAATCATCACAACAAAAATATTTAGACTATATTAACTAAAAAAAAATATATAACCCCCCATATAATACTTAATAATCATTAACTTAAAAATTTTGATTTTAAATAATTTATTAATAATCATGATTATTATTTATATAAATATTTTATTAACTACCATATATTTAATAACAATTACCGATACAAATATTTTCAAAATTTAAAAAATAAATAATAAAAATAAAATTATAAAAACTACAATTTATCCCCAAGCTTGGGTTTTACAATAATGCAATACAAGACGACCATCTGTGTTGTAACAATCAAATAAATTTTTCATTGTTTGATCTGGTTGTGGTGCAAATGCTTGATTTACATATAAGAACTGTAAACATACAAGTGTTAATTGAATTAAAATATTAATAAAAAATTATACTACACTAAGGTATGTTAACATTTTTTCTTATAAGAAACATATATAATTATATCATACAGATTTTTTATAAATTTTTACATTTAAATAATTAAAGAATAAAATAATTTATAACTTAGTGTAGTGAGTACTATATAAAATTGCATATAAAATAATGCATTTAATATTGAAGTTCAAAACTTTCTTTTCGTTAAGTAAAAATAATATTTACAATTAAATTAAAACGCAGCAATTTGTTACTTCAATATATGGTTATAATAAATTAAAATTTTTTTTTTTCTTTAATGTAAATGTTATTTTATTTTAATAAAATTTTCTATTCATCTATCAGCATTAAAAATAAATTACTTAAAAGAAGAACAAAGATAATAAATCTTAGAGTAGAATCATATAAACATTACCAAAGTTTCAGAAGATTCCATTTTTAAAAGTTTTCGTAAAAACTCAATAATGGCAGCAACCGTTTTTTCTTTTTCAACCATCCATTTTTTTGTCTTAAGAATAGGTGCATTACCAGTTGCTTTTAACAATATTTCAACTATAATAGATATAATTTATTTAAAATACCATTATATTAATTGTTTATAAATTTGAGTATTATATTTATTTTTTTCTTTATTTTCTATAGCAAATTTTGATGAACTGAATTCATTAGTATCTTCATCCATAGCAGCAGTAGAATAAATATCTATTGAAATTTTAATATTTAAATAACAGATATATGTTAAATATAACATTGTAGGTACAAAAATTACATTTTATATACACTATTTAAAACATAGTCTTAATTTCCAATTTTACTGATTTATCAACAGTTTGATGATTCAGTTCAAAATTTAGTCACACTTGAGTATTAAGCTTAACCTAAGAACCTAAGGTAAGTAGAGAATAAATCAAAATTAACACACACTGCCTTGTAATTATAAAATAGAAGTAACAAATGTATAAAAGTTTACATTTAACGTAGTATTATTTTTGTGTTGTTCTGAAGTTATATAGATTTATCACAATTTAAAAGAATTCATCACAATTTAAATTAATTATAATTATTAGAATAATAATTTTGAAATCATATAGGCAGTGGAATTCATATTAGACCATCTTGATATTGATGGTTAATTTAAAGTTTTTGTCAAGTTTAATTTTTATTGAAATCAAATCTATTATAAATCGTGTTTTTATTGATAAGAAATTGATAACAATTCATAGTTTGAAATTGATATGATGATTATAAAATAGGAAGAAAGCACGGTCTTAGAAGATATCTTCTAAGACCGTGGAAGAAAGTTACATTAGCAATAATCACGGTTTAAGATATACGTATATAAGTACGTAATATATAGAGTGCCTCTCTATTGAGGCACTCTAGTAATATAGTACTATATATCTTAAACCTTGGCAATAATTGAATAGTTGTGATAAAAAAATTTCAGTCGTTCTCAAAGACTACGGCTACGTTAATATACTATATTGTTTACCATTTACTACCAACTGCCCGGTCGTGGGGATTTCCCCATACGTATATTAGCTTTCGATAATGATTAATAGTAATAACAGCACGATTGTATTTATATCTATAATCGTGTTAAACCGTACGCTGAACACACAATATTAGATGTCTACCCACTGTGCAAAACTGTTGTACTGATGATTAAACTATTACTAGATAATATTTTTATTCATTAAAAATCATTATAATGGATATTCAAACAGTAAAACATGTTTTCTGATTTATAATAAATGCGTAAACGATGCATTATTATACATTTTCTGTAAAATCATGATGACCGATCGACGTACATGTCCACAGCCCCCCCACCAAAGATATTCTAGAAAATTATTTTGCTGATAATTTGTTCGTCATTTGTTTAAATTTGTTTGTTAAATATCAGAATTTGTTTGACAATAGTTTTTATACAATACCATAAACTATAAATAGGGGCTGGGGACATATGTCTACAGCCCTCACTAATATTTTTTCATTCGATATTCATTTCGAAATCAAGAATTGATTGTTTTTAAAATAAATGAGATATCAATCAAAATAATAACTCGGGCATATAATCGAATTATTATTTTGATAATCGAGATATCTCAAAGGTGCATTACCCCAGCACCCGCACTTTCGAAATCATGAATTGTAATCAAGCAGTATTATGTACTTTATTTTGTACAATTTTGTACTACCAAAATTAAATTTTGTACAACCCCCAAACCTCCCCGAAGTTCAATTTCATTTTACGGGTGCTGCGGTAACGTTACACCGGCACCCGGATCAACTATTTTTCACAAATTTCAACTTTAAACCGTATAGTATTATGTACTTTATTTTATACAATTCTCAAACCAGAAGCGGCCGTGGGGTTCATAGAAGTTCGAGTACAAAATTCAAATATTTCCCCTTTATCTATTATCATAGTTTACCACCTTCAACTTCTGTTGGTAATTCATTTAACTCAATTCTTTATTATGTACTAAATTATTTTCCGTTTTTTATAGGTTAATACTATATTCTAGAACATCAATGTTAATACTTTTTATTAAACTTTTAGATTCTTAACGGAGTGATGAACGTGTTTATTTTACAATGATGTGTGCTTTTTTTTTTTTATATTATTTTTTTTTATTGCGTCTGTCATCACGTTTTGGAGTAGTAATAGTGCTTTTATTTTTGACTTCAGCCCCTCTTTAAAAAGGAAATTTAATCTAGTTTATAATTAAGGTGGTTAATAGTAAAAAATTTATAATAGTTTTTAAGATACTCTGTACTAACCCTTAAAAAGTAACGGAAAAACAGGAATTTACGTATAACCACTTTTCGACTAAATCGATTTTTTGATTTTGCTGTAACTCAAAAGCGAATCATTGTAAAGACTTGAAATTTTAATCAAATGTTTATATTAGTGTTATATATTTATGATTAAATTTTCAAAATATATATAGACCATTGAAATTGTGCAAAATTTAATTTTGGTTGTACAAAATTGTACAAAATAAAGTACATAATACTGTACGGTTTAAAGTTGAAACTTGTGAAAAATAATTGATCCGGGTGCCGGTGTAACGTAAAATGAAATTGAATTTCGGGGAGGTTCGGGGGTTGTACAAAATAAAGTACATAATACTGCTTGATTACAATTCATGATTTCGAAAGTGTGGGTGCTGGGGTAACGCACCTATATCTCAATTGTATATCTCGATTACGCCCATCACTAGATTATGCCAATGGGCGGTACAAAATTCAAATCGTAAACTTGCCGTGTTCTTGTTAAAAATATGGAATCAAAACATTTTATACATTAGATGAGTTATTGGACGGAAAATATACCCGTAAATTTCAGTTTGTTATTTTATCAGTTTTAATTGTATCTATTAAATGAATATAAATTAATTGAAGTTCTAATTATTTATATAATTAGAAATATAATTATATATTTAAATAATTTATAATATATATAAGATATATAAGAAACAATGCAATATTATCAATATTTTTTCAGTAGTTTAAACTATTTACTTACAATGAAGTTGAATAATTTTCTAACAAACATATAATTTACAATAATCATAATTATTTAGCTAAGTTAATCAGTTATTACGGCATATACATATATTACATAATATACTAATATTTCAAGTAAAAATGTATTTAAATAGCCAATAGTTGAACAAAAGTTAAAAGTCTCTCTGTACATTTTATTCACGTACTGCTACCGATTACATACGAGTATTAATAGTATGGTTTGTGGTTTATGTGTAATAATACATACAGACAATAATTTAATACATTTGAGTAATAAATTATTTATTTATTTGTAAACATAAAAATATTTTATAGATAATTCAGTTTATTTATATTGGATATATTAATAATTCACATGATACCACAGTTTTGAAATTTATTGGGACGGACTTAGGTCGTTGGTTGTCGTACAATTCCCAGTTTCCAACATTAGTAGTCACGGTAATATCCTATATCGTTTATTTGTCCGTTTAACTCATGCGCGTGGGAACATATTCCTCTTAGATAATACTGGACATTATTCACTTTTACGATTTGAGGCATATTTTCTAAACTTATTAAAACTTGTTGGGCCACTTCAGAATCGATATTTTGGTTGGTTGCATTCTCTGAAATTACATTTGATAATATTTTTATAAATAATTATATGCTATGAAAATATTTCAGTGACAGTAAAATACCTTCCCAATTGAGTAATTCAATAAACAAATGTATTGTTGAAATTCTTGGTTCAATTGATTTTATTCCTTTGCAATTCATTCCTTTTTGATATGTATTTTGACACTTGGAAGTTTCAATCATTAATCTTGCTGTAATATCTTCTTCCAACAAATTTAAATGTCCATTCATTACAATTATTGTTATGTACGACGAAAACAAAGGATTAGTCTTTGCACACGTGGGAATTGAGCATTTGATATTATCCGTTATTGTCGGTAATTGTATTAACAATTCTTTAAGAACATTTCCCACCGTTGTTTCACATGATGCCAATTTCGTACCATAATCTAAATACTCCATATTAGGTTGTAAATACTTCATCTGTTAACAAAAATATAAGTTTATATAGTTGTTGTATATCACAGATTATTATATTATAATATATTTACAACAAAAAATATCATAGAATCTACTATGTGATTTTCGAGGTCACAATAGAATTGATACAAAAAAATGTTATGTCAAAAATTATAACTTGTTTCACCACGAGCGACGGTCGTCACGGATACGAAAACATGAGAGGCTAACCGTTGCGTGACGCGTTATACTTCTGACCAAAATTACGTATCGGAAGAAAACGATTGGTCGGATCTAAGAAATTATAAGGAATCAATTCAATAAAGTTCATACGTTATCGAGGTGAACGTCCGACGTAGCGACTTCAGGTTGTTCAACGTCGTCGTAGTCGGTCACCGAGGACCGCGTCCTGGAGTCGTCGTCAACCGTAGTGGACGGTATGGGATGTACACCGCTTCATCGTCGGAAAGCGTCGCGGTAGCCGAATTCTCATCGCCCACGTCGGTAGTTAAACACCACGTGACCGTGGTACCGACAACCGTGGCCGGCTCCGTGTTGGTAGAAGCGTCGACGAAACGAACGACGGCGCGGTCGCGGTCGGCCGAGAGCAAGCCGGTCCTCTCCGAGTTCCGCCGCCCGAATCGCACAACCCTCGTGCAGGACCATTGGCGTTCGGATGAGATTTACGAAAATATCAACAGGAGCGCAAATAAAAACCTTCAACGTCAATGCGGTATGTCAAATGAGACAAACGAAAAGCCTTCGGTGGTATTTATATTGATTTTCGATGTTTACTCGTTGCTAACCGTTGTCTCGCAAGACAAGTTTTTTCGAGCCAAATCATTTTAATAACCAAGCGCACGGGACGCGCGGCGACAGTGAAACAGTGCAAACCTCGAAACATTGAAAACCTATTGAACGCACAGCAACTCGGTGTTACGTGTGGTAGGTTTACCGCGCAAACATGGTCAGTTTTTAGAAACTCTCCAAACTAGAACACTCTCCGTACATTAAATAATACTGAGCTGCATAGGTAGTAATTTACGTCTGATCTAGAGTACTAGTCATTTTGAACTGAAAAATTTGGTGGCTTAATTTTGGTGGACCCATAAAAATCTGTGGTCTTTTCCGATAATAACAATAAATAATGACCTTGTAGCGGATTGAAATCATTGTCGTTGCCTAAATATTTCTTAATAAAAGGATTTGTAGTTTAAAATAATCAAAAATACGTTTCATATGTAACCGGTTTAACACAGGCAAACTTACAGCTCATTATTTTCAAAAATAAAAAAGATTTGTCTGAGTTATAATTTACTTTTCCAACCATCTACAGTTGTGTCTGACTTCGAAGTTTCTATTCATAATGCAATTCAAAATAAATGGCTGACAATGAAAAGTAGTGGTTGAAATTTTCATTTGTGCCAAAATTGGTTTAGAAAAATTCAACAATCAGACATAAAGAATCATTATAATAATAGTGAATTGGAAATTTCTCCTAGTATCCAATTATTTTGTATTTGATCTGTTGAAAATTAAACTATCCGACGACAACATTGAACAATATTGCGATTATTTATTTGAGAATTACATGTTTTCATATTCAGTTTTTCCACCAAAACTATGGTCTAATAATGATGGTCTTCAACTGACCTAATAATTATTTGGTTATTATTTTTTTCAGTGCATATATGGTCGAGGCCGACCGCGGTGGTTTCCGCCATTGTAGCCACCACCGCCGTACGAGGATTGAGGTCCTGGGTATTGTCGTCAGGGCCCGATCATCATGTTGTGCTGCCAGGGACCAACATCGCGATTCCTTCCACCGCCTTTCGATCCCCAAGACGTGTCCTGGCGTTGGTTGCGCTGTTGCAACGGCCTGGCGATGGTTTTGATCATGTCCGACCGGTTGACGGGCGACACGTGCACCAGGTTCGAGCCCATGTAACACTGGTCCTTAACCAGAGCCATGTGCATCTGGTGCACGCTGCCGAACTCGCAGCACGGACGCGTGGGCGAAGAACCGTGTGATGTCCGCAGTGGTCACCCACGTTGGCAACCCGTGCACGAACATGCAGTCAAAACGGATGCCGGGCGGGGCAACGTCCGATCTGATGGGCGGCTGCGCGAAAGACACTAGTTATGGTTATAGTGGCGACCGCCGCCGCCAGTGGTGGCGTCCTCCACGGGAAACCGTCCGGTTCCGCCGCTAACGGGGTGTGCTCTCCTTATGGTCGGGTTTTTGTTGCCGTTACGCTAGTAAGGATGAGGCCCATGTTGCTGCAGCTGCTACATTTGGTACCCATAGATCTGCGTTATTTGCATTATCTGCTGTCGCGCAGTTTCGATGAATGTCGCATCTCGTTGTCCGAGCTCAACAACAGCTTGATCTGTACCTCCTTGATATAACCACAGTCAGTAAGCATAGTCTGGCTAACATCCTCATCAATACTGTTAAATAATTGGAGGTAACCATAAGAAAATGTAAAAAAAAAAAACAGAATTTCCAATCACCGAATTAATTTCCAAATTATTATTTACCTAAAAGAAATGAAAGCATCGCCTTTTTGTCCGACGACGATGTAAACTTCACCATCGGGTATTGTCAGTCCTTTGAAATATTGTCTTATGTCTGCGGCATTGGCTGACACTCATGATTTTGCCTAAATAAATACATTTGTTTGGTTAAAATATATTAGAAATATATTTATAAAATATATTAGCATTTTTCACTGTGGACCGCGTGATAAAATAATTATAATTTATCGGTTTGTTTATGTGGAAGATAAGATTGTAAAGGTTATGCCCCATTCAAATATTCTAAAATTTTACTAATAACGTATTATGTATGCTGTAATAATAAATGTAATGTTAAGATTATTTAGTGATGAGAAACTACATTTGAAAATGATTCAATATCTATCAGTGGGTATAACTCAAATATTCTATATGATTTTTGTTAAATTTTTTTAATGTATTTATTGAGTATTTAAGTAATTTTGGTAAATTAATACAATTAATAACTAAATTTCGTTTAAGATCCTTAGTACAACTACAATTTAAAAATGTCACAAAATATAGTATCTAGTGTTGGTAAACAAAAAGCATTGTAAAGAATTTAAAATAAAAATTATTTTAAGCTCAAGCTTACATTTTTATTGAGAACTTCATACTTTCATAAGACTACATTAGTATATCAAGATTAATTAATATATATATATATATATATATATTATAATTGTATTTATTTCAAAAAAAATATAAAAATATTGACTACAATATGCCATTATGAAATGACCAACTAATGACACATTAATACATAAAATTAAATTTTTCTTGGCATGTATTAATTCTAGGAACAAACTTATTGTTTTATTTTATTAACTATGTATCTATTTAAAGTAATACCTTCAATATTTGTTGAAAACAGACAAAACGTTGGAATACCGAGTACGAATACAATACATAGAATAACTGTATAATAAAATTGATACAAAATATGAATGATACCTGATTGCGTTCTGAAATTACGTTTTACTGAGTAATGATATTTTAAAACTGCAATGAACACTACAATTACACGTTTGCGAAATTATTAAACATACCATTTAACTAACAGTAGATTAAATGTTAACTGTTATTGCTATTTTAAATAATTGTCATGGTTATTGCGTTGTCATGAGTGATTCTCATAATATCATGAATTTAAGGTTTTTTGACTTTTTAGGTACACTGGTTATAGTGTTTACAAAAAAAACAATAATCTTTGAGTATTCAACAGGACAATTTTTATAATGACGTCAAGTATATGTAGGTACTATGCCGTTCGCATATTATTACTACTTAGTTACTACTTAGTTGACATACATACTATTAATAACATAGCAAATTCAATTAAAAAACAAATATTAAAAATTCAAAAATTCACATCCTTAAATACAAAAGACGGCTCTTTATGGAAAACCACTAAAAACTTACTAAAATTTAAAAGATCTTTCATGTCCTATTAAGAAATCAGATTGTACACTCACATTATTTGAAGTTGACAAAAAACCAATCTGTTTGGCAGACACCTTTCCAACATATGAATCACTAAACGTTAAAAGGGGACTTCTATATTTTTACTAAAAATACTTTTTTTGTATATTCATATAATTAGTAGGTAGAGCTATCGTTTAATATTGAAAAGAGACTTTTGCTGTAAATAGCAATAATGTAATAGAACGATAATTTTTTCATTTAATGTTAAAAGGGGACTTTTGCGGTAGAAGTCCTGTTTCTACATAAATTCTTAGAATCTTTATAATATTATATTGTATAAATAAATATGTTTACGTTATTATTGTTTATATCAATCACATATTGTCTAAAATTTATTCATTGTTATCAATGATTGGTTAAATTTTTGTTTTATTTAATTCATTTTGAGTATAATCATAGTGAATATAACATACTAATTAGTTTATCGAATCGTTTAGTTTTTGTATTGAAAATTTAATAAATTATGTCTTCAAGTGAAACAGCTTTAAGTGACTGTGACAGTGAATATGTTTTACCCTAGAAACGGAAAAAAGGAGTTGTAAATAACCATGTTTTAACCATTTGATGCAGAAAGGGGACTTCTGCTACTCAAACAAATTCAAATTTTTTACATTGAATAAATTAAATGTTTCGTTTCAAAATCCCAAAAGTACGTATTAGTATAAGAATAATCCACTGCCACTAGTATAAATATAAATAATACAGTTTTTGGTAGTCTAGGCGATTTTTTCCTTCTCCTGTAGAATTTGAAAAATGTCGGAAGTCCCTTTTAGCATTTAGCGATTCATATTTAAAACTTCCATTACGTTGTATCCAGACATTGTTGCCGTAACTTGTGTGTTACTTACAATATAGTACATACTGTTTCGAAGTTTCTATTATTTCGTGGTACACATTGATGTACGGATGATTGAACAAATTGACAAATATTTTCTCATTGTCAATCGACCACTGGAAGTCATCTTTCCTTACGCTGTCCGGCATTTTTTCGATTATCTTGATTGTCATTCATTTATGATGCCGTTTAGACATGGCCATCAAAATCACTCTGAACCCTCCTTCGCCTATACGTTCGGTTATAGTGTAACCGCGCTTTAACAAGGCCTTTACTGAATTTGGTTTATATTGTTTCCAGACATCTTCAACGGTACTAAGAAATGTTGAAATATCGTAACAAATATATAGATAGTTTTATGTAATTGTACAATATAATTTTTATACTCTTGAATAAATAATAATTTTAATGTCAAATGAAACAACATTATTAAACATTGTGCCCATGGTTACTATTGCGAGATATTAATTAAACAACTAAACATATAATTAGTACGTTAATGCGAAAAAATCACATTAGTCTGTACAATTATTACCGATACCAGCGAGTCATTTATTTATTAAACAGTTATGTACATTAATTTTTACTTTTAGTATTGGCAAAACGTGTCTGTCAAATTCCGTTGGGATCTTAGCCGATGAATCATATTCATTAAATGTATTCATATGCATTATTATATACATATTGGTGATTATAACGAATGATTAAAAACTAATACAACCGGCTTAAATTAAAAAAAACATAGGATTGCGTTATAGTTAATATATGTTTATCAATGTTCTTTAAAAAATATCCAAACAGCTGTCACAAAATCTTACCACCAAAATTAAGCTAATTTATTTCGGCGTAGAAAGCAGTTATAACTGTGTAACTATTGAACTATAATGAACTTCCATAATATATTAAATTACACTAATAACTATTATTGTAAGGTCAAATAATATCAACAATTTATTTTTTGCATAAAAACAATGATAACGCCTCGGAACTTGCCATTCCAAATGGTAGCTTCGACAACGTTTTTCATTAAGTTTTTAACAATTAATCGAGTGTCATTGTACAATCGTAGGGAATTCAGATTCCGAAGTAAAATATTCAGATATCTAACTTTCAGTTGTAGATGGTGCGATGGCATGCCTGGCAAATCCACTGAGTTCAAAAACGCTGTATGATAATTTACAGCTTCAGTAGCATCGCAAACTGTATCAATAGATTTGTATGACAACAATTCGCCTGGCAAAAACTTTTGTATCTTGAAATTGAAATCGTTGAAGTCCGCATTTTTTGCTGCCAAAAAACTTTTTCTGGCAGCCACTCAAGATTTGTGTATAGCATGTGTATTATGGAAATATGCATTCGATGAAAGCATTTTTGTGAATCAACTATTGAACTGAAATTTATCGACAATATTGTGCGTCAATACTTTCATCTACAGAAACTTTTCCATTGCCGATATCTAACAATAGTTTTAAAAATATGTCAGCGGATGGATCTTGAAGCATTTGAACACGCTTGCTGTCTTTTAGGTTTAGATTTTCAACATTACGCCACAATGGCGATAATTTCAAGCAAGCGTTGATTTCATCAGCGTACGTTGGACGTGGAATGACGGAAAGTGTTTATCTAAAATCACCTGAGAGAAGTAATAAACTACCGCTGAATAGTTTGCAGTTGTTTTTATACCTTTTAGTGTCCTGTTCATCGGTTCATTCGATCGCTGTTCTGCCTCCATCTAATAAAGTTGCTGCAATTCCAAATGATGCAACAGTTAATGCAATGGCATTATTTGATCGTATTTTGGCGAGAATTAGCAAAATTATATAGTACATGTCTTGCCAGTTCCGCCTGGTGCATCGGAAAAAAAGAATCCACCTTGTTCTGTAGAAACTGCTAGCAAAACGCGGTCTTAAATGATTCTTTGTGCACCAGTCAGTAATGAGTCATTGCGAGTAACAATCGTTGCCATTTCTATAGTGTTGTACTGCATATCACGATTCATTTCAGTGTTCGTAAAACCAGATGCACTTCGATTTAGCGAACGCATACCGAAATGACTGATTGGTAAATTGGCAATGACAATGCAAAGACCATCGATAGTAATCAATATAATGCTTCATTATACGTAGCGTTGTTGAATGATATCGTTTGATCATTCCACCGTGTACGAATTCGATGCAATAAATCATCACTTATTGAATCTTTGTGCTTATCTCACAAGGTGTCTGCTCGGGTTGGGAAACATATAATTAACACTATACCGAATCATATATATAAAAATGTAGCTAAAAATGTATAAAATGTCATCAAAAGAGAACGGCTGGGCCGATTTGGCTTAAGATTTTTTTAATTATTCATAATTGCCAGGAGAAGGTTTTTACGAAAAAAAAAATGTTGGAAAAGTGCTATTGTTTAATAAATCGTAGTTTAATTTAATAATTTTTGATCAGGTCGATAACTGCGTTATTGAAAATGAGTTATTAAATAAAACTATTAAAAAACTATTAAAAACTATAAAAATTGTTAATTTTATTTTTGTTATTAAATGACGGATATTGCATATATATTAAATAACATGATCCCGCATCAGGTACCAAAACAAATAAGAATGTTAGTTCGAAGGATTATTATGCATAACGGTTGATGATTAGTCACAATCAGAACAATAATTCATGGTCAATATGTATGTAAAAATGCGAACGATTTCGATACTTGCAATTTAATCAAAAAAAACTGCGTGCGGAAGATTCTCAAAATAATTATTAGATTTCAGTGATGGAAAAGTTACTATAGATGAAACGGAATGCATAAAATTAACGACCGATTTCTGCACAATCATTGATTCGTATGATGCTTTCATTGACCAGATATTTCCCAATCTACACAGACAGTGCACAAATCATGAGTGGCTGGCAGGAAGAGCAATTTTAGTAGAAAAAAATGTGGACGTCATCATACTGAATCTTAAGATACAACATTTGTTACCAGGAGACTTGGTGTCATACAAATCTATTGATACAGTTTATGATGCTACTGCAGCTGTAAATTATCTAACAGAGTTTTAAACTCATGGGATTTACCGGGCATGCCACCGCGTAATTTACAACTGAAGGTTGAATCTCTGGTTATTTTGCTTCGCAATTTGTACCTACCACAGTTGTGTAACGGCACGCGATTAGTCATTAAAAAATTAATGAAAAATGTTATTGAAGCCATCATTTAAAATGGCAAATTCCGAGATAAAAATATATTATTATCACGAAAACCTATTATACCCACAGATGTGCCAATAAAATTTATACGCCTTCAATTTCAAATTAGTTTGGCATTTGCAATGACTATCAATAAGTCTCGTAGCCAATCGATGTCTGTCTGTAACTTAAATTTGAGCACATCATGTTTTTCATACGGTCAATTATACGTAGTGTGCTCTCAAACCATCCAGTTTGTGTTGGCGAAAGATGGGATAACAAAAAATATTGTACACTCTGTTGCATTGAGGGATTGATATTGTTTTTTACTAATATTGTCATAATTAGCGATATATATATATTTTAAAGGATCAATTTTAATAAATTATTAAAAAAATAAATGATTTTTTTTTATTTTTATATTCCGTCACTGTTCACAGCACTCCATACCTCTTCCAGTGTCGGTTCCACGATTTTCGGGGCCCGGTGCAGAATTTGCGGGACCTCATATATATATATATATATATATTAATTTATTAATTTATTAATTTATTAATTGTTTATAAAAATCTTCGTTTGTTCATGTTATTATACAACTGAATAATATTTCAAACCGTCATCGACGATAAACAATTTTACAAGTGTATGCACGTGCAATACTTCAAAGCTATGCGTAATTGGTACCGTCTTAATTTTCGTCGATAACAACCCGTTTTTTGAGAATACCACATGACCACATGGATTGCGATTTGCGTAATGGGACTATATTATTTTTAATTATAAAGTGATATTCGTAATACATCGTTTGTGGGGCCTCATACAAACGCGGGGCCCGGTGCGATCGCACGGCTTGCCCTCCTCTAGGGCCGGCACTTACCTCTTCCACTTATATACCACATCATTACACACTTATATTAAATTAATTATATTTTTCTAGCAAAATATTCTCTAGAAATAATTTACATAACAATACAACGTTTGTCGGGTCAGCTAGTAATAAATAATAATAAATATAGATTTTTCCGTTATTTATATTACACATTTATTGACTGGTATATTTTGTAACTAAACAAATAATTGCGTGCGAGGTAAATTATAGACATTAAAAAAATACCAAAATTTCAGAAGTTATGCGTATAAGTTGTCTATAATTCTAAAAAGATAAGTATTATATAATATTAAGATTAAAATTGTTTATTAAAAATTTACAATAATTGGCTAAATAAAAACCGTGAAACTATGAATACGTGTTTATTTGTCTATAAAGTCAGGTTATTGATATTTTGAATTCATTGTACCAGTGTCTTTTATGAAAAACGGTCGATTATAATACAAGTGTTCTTCGTTTTTATTGTTTAAACGTCAAATCCGATCTTACCGGCCACATATATCAGGACATCGTACGGTTTGTTTACGTACAAAGGAAAGTCGGAAAATATTGAAAAATATTCGAAAAGCTTTGAGATTTCCATGAAGCATACTATAATGGACAATGTTAAGCAGGAATGTTACAGGAACACCTTAAGACGCACAGGCCCATCATTTCGATTCGCTAATCGACAGTTAAATGAAGACCGGAATTTGGGGTGGTGTGAAAACCACTATTCGAGCGGAGGGTAAATATAGACAAATATTTGATAAATAAGTACATATATGTTCAATTGACTGCGAAACAATAGATCAATAATCATAATAATGACGACTTTCGTTTAGAAACAACGAGATACGGTCAAAACGACCTATTGGCAGACAATCTCAGCCCGGTAGCGGTGATACTACCAGACCATTGCATCATCCGCAGACTTGGTGGCGTGGCATGCCAAGCAGAGTCCTGATCATATACGGATTGGAAAAAATGAACGTCAATTGCGATAAGATATTCAACTTGTTTTGTATTTACGGAAACGTGACGGGAGTGAAGGTTCTGAACGGAAAACAAGCACTCGTCGAGCTACAGGACGTCGAGGCTGCTAAGCGGTGCGTGTCTAATTTGAACTTGCTACGGTTGGACGAAACTACTAAGCTGAAAGTCAAGTGAGTGACGTAACATCCTACTGGGATTTCTTCATGTCGGGTTAAGAGTGAAGGGTGGGGTAAGGGTAGGTTGCTCTTGATTCCCAATAAGATTATAGATTAAGACCAATGGGCAAGAGGGTGCATTACGCGAGTATATTGCAAGAACTGTAATCACCCCAAATAAAAGGCGGCGTAAATATGCTTATAAATAATAATCATAGACATAAAAAAATCATAAAACTATAGAACATCGCATCATGTCCGCCGTGGCTGTTTTAGGTATTCGAAACATTCCTATATTAACGATCATGGAACGTTGAGAGCCTTGTCAGATGGCACGCCGACTAAGAAAATTTACGTGAAAAGCAAGTTCAACCGATTTATCGAAAAAGAGATGAATTACGCGAATCCACGACGTACCGCGGCCCCGTCGAAAGTAAGTGAAAACGCGCGTGTATTAAAACGTGTTCACACTCGATGTACGGACAACGAGTTTACTAACTCAATAGTTGAACGAATAACAGTTAATTTTCTTCTTCATAGATTTTGCATTTCTATAACGCACCGTTAGATATTTGCGCCAGAAAAATGCATAAAGTGGTGACGGACGCCCTTGGTTCCATGGACGCAATAAGATCCATAACCATTTGTGAGTCTTCATCGCCAATGGATTCGTTTATGATTGAGGTTCTAATTAAATTGATTTTTTTTTTTTTTTTAGTGCCTAAAAAACGTCCAGGTGCCAAATGTTCAACTGGTCTGATCGAAATGAAAAGCAACGAATTGGCGTTAAAAACGATTCTCTTGTTGAATCACATGCCATTTGAATCATCAAGTATGTTTTAGTTATGTTATCACTTTAGTTATATGGTAATAATATTTTTACTGATTGGACCGAATTTCGATTATTATAGCAAATGTATTCCCCTATCCTTGTGCTCTACTGAAACCGAGAATAGTTTTTGTAGTGAATAATCAATACGACTCACGTGTGTGTACATAAATTATCTTCTACTTATAGAGTCCAGATTTCCATTTTTAATGAAACTGAGCTTTTCGAAATGGTCTAATATCCGGCAGCAGTCTACAGACTCATCCAAACTGCTACTGAGCGTTACGTCCTGCACTCCGTTGTCGTTGCACAATTCCGAATATGCCTCGCCCACGGTGGAGTTTGCGGTCGCGCGTACGACTTTGCAAACGACCAGCCCCGGTGAAACCTCGTGGACGTTGTGGGAAATAAGAGATGTTGTGACGGAGGCCATTGACCACGTTACAGGAGATCTCGTGCGACCAACGGAAACGTTTCGGGACCAGTTACGCGTGACACGCTGCGATAACCCTCACTGCTCCGCGGCACACGGAAGGCAAGACACCAATACCTAAGTAAACTTTGCTTCCTGTTGGGAGATTTTCCATTTGCCTTGTTCAGGGTTTGTTAAAAATATCCGAAATAAACGATGAATATTTAATATTTTGTACTTCATTACATCATTTTTCTTTGTAATCCAGCACACTTTTCTACTATTAATACGTACGGGCAAACTATTTACGAGTCATATTACTTATCCGTTTGTAGTAGTGGGTATATGAGCATTTCGTTGAACTTAATTGACGATCTGATCGATTATGTCGTGTTATCTGGTCGTGATCATCATGGGTATGATGAGCCCATGGGATGAGTTCCGGAACTGGGACGTCGTTTACAACACACAGTAAATACCGTTTTATTGATAGTTGTTATAAAACAATTCTGGGATTCTGCGATTCTGGATCTTATTTCCATAATGCACTTGTCGTCTTGAGCTGCTTAAATATTTTAATAATAACCATCAGCTATACATTTATAATTATAATGGCCAATTCGAAAATACTAATATTTTATACATTTTATTGAACATGAATACTTCTAAACGCAGTTAATATTTCGCTGTATAACCCATTAAGGGGGTTGGAACATCGCATGTTTTGAGGATTAATATTTAGGTATTTCATTTAATATTTATATTTAAGCTGTGTCAATGTATGAGAAGTAAAAGAACTTTATTATGAGTATTTTGTTATTGCGCCACCGCAACCTATGAGTAGAGAATGATCGCATGTGTAGTACATTTTTAACAAATTATTAGAACCCAAATAAACGATTAAGGGTGCCTTACATAGCAAGTATATGATATATCATAGGCATAATAGACGAACATTTCATTATGTCTATGGTTTTGTAATTTTCAATAATGGTATTTTTAACCCAAGGAAATTCCTACGAAAACGTAATGTATCTATGCTTTAAATAATTCCACTTTACTGTTAATTTCATGAGATTTAATTTTTATTCTACGAATGCCCACAAATCTGAGTCCAAAGCACGAAATAAAGCCACCTAACAAATAGCCACTCGACATTAAGTCACGTGATAACGACAAAAAGCCATTCGTCAATACACCATCTTCATAATCCGACAAAATGCCACCGGCCAAAAAAACCATTGTACTAAATTACCAACCTTATATTTGGGTACGATAATTCTTAATTATTTTTGTATTTATTTCGAAAAAAGTCACCGAAATGAAATAACTATTATCTAAATTAATTATTTTTTAGCGCTAAATTTGAAGTGCTAGTTATAAAATGATTTCGTATACTTTGTAAACCGTATATAGCACTCATAGGGTTAACCCCTATGTGTAGTTATAGTTATAAAATAGTTATTAAACTAGTTATAACAATGTTTTATACGAAATAAGAGTATATTTGGCATAGTTAATGATGGTTAGTTATATTAATATAAATCACAACACGAGGTGATTCAAAAGTATTTTAAATATTATTTTAATGTAAAATTAACCTAGAATATAAATGTTGATGGCTCTGAGTAACATTATTTCTTTGAGGCTTTACTGTTCAGGGTCGTTTCCCTTTTCATTATATATATAAACATATTTTTGATATCGTATAATGAATTTAAAATGCACTCTCTAGTTTTTAGCTGTAGTGAAAGAGGATTTCAGAGGACTGAGTAGGTACCGGTTCAGAACAAGTTAAAAAGACCCCATCAAGCTTGGATTACCAGAATTTTTTTTTATAAAATAATTATAAAGACTTTAATAATTAGATAAAAGGCCCTTTAAAAAAATTTCTCCCGAAACCTTTAGTGTGTCAGGCTGGACTTATAAGATATTATAACCTCGATCACTAGGTATTTTTCCTTTTAATGTTTTTACAGAGATATTTTAATTAAATATTATAATAACTTTATAAGTTAAGTTGTCACTATAAACAATACCTGCAGAATACTATATTTGTACCTACAATCTACATTATAGTAAGGTAAATGTTATAACATTTAATAGAAAATTCCTACCTAAACCATATTGTGTAAATAATAATAACATAAATCATTTAAAATAACTTATAACTTTCTCAAAATGGTAAGAATTTATCTATTACAAAAATATTTAGTTAAGATAATATCGACGCCTCAGTTCAAGAGTGCAATAACTCAAATTATGAAACTACTGGTTCTAGAATGAAATAAGCGACTTCTAGAGGTGAATAATGTAACTAAAAGTTATCGCGTTATAGAATCGAAATCGTCGTAATTTTGCAAATAATATCACGCAGATAACTTAATTATGAATATGTTTGAATTATTGCTGTCTTGAACTGAGGCGTCGATATCTCAATAATAGTTTTTTTGAGTTATTGCAGTCTTGAACTGAGGCGACATGTCACCTCGTTGCAACGATATGATGACTGGTATAGGTACTGAACACAATACATGTATAAAAATAAATACCTGTATTCTATATTAGTAAAATATTGAATAATAACTAATAATAGTATGGAATACATTTCATTAGTATTTGAATAAATGGTATCCTCAAATGCTAATTTGGTTAGGAACTTAAAAAATTATGAATTTTTTTGTTATTGTTTGGTAATTATATCGTCAGTTTATTTCTATAGTGTTTATAACTATTAATTAGAATAGTATTTTTCAACCTTTGTATTATGGTAACATATCATACTATTAAAATATTTCATACTTTGTGACACACAATAATAAAAATAGGAATAATAAGTAATATTACATATTTACAATTAATTGATAGTGTAAACTTAAAAATAACAAAGAGAAATATAACATTAACAGCATTTTAATGAGATTTTATGCCTCAACTCCGATAAATTTGGTTAAAATATTTTAAAATTTAGCAATTTTTAAACATTAATTATACGGAATCAAAAACAGAAATTTTAAAATGTGACCTGACTGATAAAAAAAAAATTGAGGACATGTTTGTACATGTAAGTTTAATCATACCAGTTTTCAAAATTCTTATCGAATTACTAGGTTAATCGATATTAATGTCAAAAGACTGTTATGGTTTAGTTAAAATAATTGATTTTCATCAATATTTTTAAGGCCAAGCGATATCGTTTTCCAAACTGACCGATCAGACCTTTTAAGCTATGGTTTCCTAGAAAAGCGGTGCCGTTATCTAGCAGCCGTCATTTTACGGTTGTTAATAACGGCCGTCTTTACGGTGATCAACCTGTGGTTTCCTAGGAAGTAGTGCGACCGTATTCAATCGTAGTTACTTAGTAGTCAGTACTCACTTAAGAGTAGTAGATCGTGCACTGGTGAAAAATGGACGATTTGGACATAGTATTATTAGTATGTTTGGATGATGTAGAGTCATTAGAAGACGAAAACAATCGTTTGGAGGAAAGTGTCATGTTCAAAAATCGTAAAACTGAGGGTGCATTTCAAATTTTAGTGCGTCGCCATCTGCAGTGTAATGACGAAAAATTTAGGCAATACTTTCGCTTAACACCAGTGTTATTTGACTATGTATTGAATCACATAAGAGATGACTTAACTTATAAACCATATAATAGACACAAAAAGCCCATATGCCCAGAAGAAAAGTTATGTATACTTGTGAGGTAAGTATCTACACTGAATCATATTTTATTATAAATTATACCTATAAATCTGTCACTAATGCTAGTAATACTGGCATACCAATAGTATACCGGCCAATATTATATAAAATGTTTAATAAAGTATAATAAATCAAAATATTTATATTATAATATATCGTAGTAAATTATAACAGCCACTTTAAGAAATGTTTTATTTGTATAAATAACAAGTGAAGTAACATATTTAATTTTTAAAAGTATGTTATTGTTTGTGATGACTCGTCATATATTTGGAGATGGCACCGTTTCTGAGTGTATGAAGCTCATTGTTGAACTTGGCCCTGTTGATGAATCTGTCTGTCTTGAATCACCTAAAATACTTTTTAATTCAGCATTACCGACCAATGACGAAATTTGCATCCTTAATTGCACTTGTTCATACCGAGGAAGCTTCTTTACAATTTTTGCCATGTATTTAAAAAAAAGGTCGATTTCGTCCAATTCATTAGCAGGAGTTGAGTTTCGTTCAGCTATTTGTTTCAGTAATTGTAATCGTTCTTCAGAGTGTGTTAGTTTTATCTTTTTTTTATCTCTCATAAAGTCTTTCTTACCATCCATTTTTTTATCATTATCTTCGTTAATATCTCCTCTTTCATCAATCTGGGTGATGTTTTCTTCGAGGTCAGCGTGAGAGTTTTCCATAAATTCACTCTCGTCAAACCTAATCTCATCTCCAACAACATTAGTTATTGTATTAAGTCTTTGTGATGAAGGAAGGCTATCTAAGAATGATAGGAGAACAGACCTATTCTTTGCTGCTTCTCCACCTGAACCAGTACCAGGTTTACCTTTACGCCGAATATAATAATCCCTTACGTAGGCCCATCGTTTACTGCAGTCAGAACCTAAAACACAAATTGTAATTTGATTTCTTATTTCAGACATTTGGCCACAGGAGAATCTTTTCGGTCACTTGCTTTTCAATATCGAGTCAGTCATTCCTGGATAAGTGTCATAATAAGAGAAGTTGCTGATGCCATTATTAAAAGGATGTTTGAGTTAACTATACCGTCGCCTACAGAAAATCAACTAAGACAAAACAGTAGTCAATTTTTTTCAAAATGGAATTTCCCGAACTGTGTCGGAGCGATAGATGGGAAACATGTAAGAATAAAGGCTTCCAAACGAAGTGGATCATTATATTTTAACTATAAAGAGTACTATTCAATCGTTTTGCTAGCAGTCGTTGACGCGGATTGTAAATTCACTGCTGTTGATATTGGTTCCTATGATAGAGAGGGAGATGCGGGTATCTACCTAAAGAGTCAAATAGGGAAAATGATAAAAAAATAATACATTCAATATACCAGCACCAAAAGAAATATCTAGGACAAATACTGTTGTACTTCATGTCATTGTAGGGGATGAAGCTTTTGTTCTGCACGAAAACCTGATGAAACCTTATCCAAGACAGCAATCTGTACATGATCCATCAAAAGCTGTATATAATTATCGACTATTTAAAGCTCGGAGAACAACTGAAAATACTTTCGGAATTTTATGCGGTTATTTCAGACTCTTTTTCCTACCTATTGCTACTACCCCAGAAACTACAGACAAATTGATTACATGTGCATGCATATTATATAATATTTTACGGCGAGCAAAAGTACTTGCTCCAGGTCAAAAACATTTTGATGATGCACTACCACTACCAACTGAAAATTTAATCCCCATAACAGAACACAATGTGCGTGCCAAAATGAATCACACTCAAATTCGAGAAATATTCAAAAATTATTTCAACGGTCCAGGGGCTGTAGAGTGGCAGCATAGTTATGCAATGCGACATTAATTGTGATTATTATATAATATATTTATTGTAGTAATTACTTTTACTTTAAAGCATCTGTTGTATATTAATAATTAATATATTCATTATTCTTATATTAAAATAGTATCTGTGACAAACTGACAACACGTAAACGATAACAAAATATAACATGTTACTATTCTAAATTTTATTTAAAATAATGTTGAATAAATTTAATTTAAGCTTGAAAAAAGTGTTTTATATTAAATTAGTTAATATTTATTGAGTTTTTCACTTTACTGAATTTTAGTACTATACACACCTGATTTTTTAAGTGTTATTCCAATTTCGTTCCACAAATTTTGCTTCATCTGGGCTTGTCTATACTCTTTGGATTTGATATTGTACAAAGCTTCATGATTTTTGACAAAATCAATTAATTGTTCGTCATTTTTGCTCGTCCAAATCACGTTTCCACTCATTGTAATAATTAAATATGCACACCGCTACACGCGAAAAACGTTGAACAACTGTTTATCACCGCTATGACAACCGTCATGCAACTGACAGCACCGCTATTTGATGTTACGGTGACACTCAACGTACTCTAGGAAACCTAGTCCGATGTTATTTATAGAAAACGTATGGGTGACGTCACCCAACGCTATATTACGGCCGCTAAATAACGGCACCGCTTTTCTAGAAAACCATAGCTTAATAAATGAAAAAAAAAATTTTAATTATTAATATGTAACAAACAAAAGCAAAAACACTTTCTTTGATTAATTAGTAACAAATTATTACATATTTATTAAGAATTTTCAATATATTTTTTTGTGTGGAATTATAATTGTAATGAATGTTGATGAGTCGCATGATATTTTTGATGTTGTATTATTTCTATTCATTTAAATTAAGTCAGGTGGAGATATTATTTTAATTCGGGCTAAAGAAATGAGATTATTGATGCAGTAAATGCTAATTATATTTTCAACACTGTATACTTTATAAAAATGTTAAATGTGACAACAAGAATAAGAGTCTTTATCTGATTGTTTATCCCTTGCCTCAGTCTTGACTATTGATGTATTGAGTTTTCAACTTTTTAAAAAACATAAAATAAAACAAATTGTTTTTTATTTACATTTTAGTACAAATAGTTTTATATTTCTTTTTTTAGAACAATGTGCTATTGTCTTTTATAGCCAACAAAAATTGAATTTTCAAATAAATATTATAAAATATATCAAATATAATAGCTAAAATTAAATAATAAATACAATAATTATACTCCATAATTCTTAAAAAAATATGTTCACAAATCACAATATGCATTTTCAGTATTATATTAATTATATTATTAAATTATAATAATTAATTTACAAGTACATGCCATTAATTAAAAAGTCTGCATCATGAGCGTAGGATTGTTTGCCTCCTTTTCGATGGCGGTTACGCATCAATCTTAATCTACAGCTAATCACAATTATCATTATACTTGTGGCAATAATACCTGAAATAACGATCGTTAAAAATATTTAAGTATAAAAGTAAAAAATATTAAAAGTTAATGTTTCTACGATTTTATTTTGTTTACGATTTTCAGTTGAATAGTTTTCAATTGAATGTATTTTTACCTCAGTTAATTTTAATATTTAGATTTCATCATTAAAAGGTTTTTTTAATTACTAACCAAGAACAAGAGAAATGAAAGCTCCATTTGGCATTATTGTATAACCGTCATCACTACTTTCAAAATACGCTTCATGAATACCTGTCAATGGTTGTTCCAATTTATGGTTTGAGCGAATGTCTAAAAATATTATATGATTAAATGAAGTTAGGTTAATAATTTAAAATAATATTAATTTTAACCTGCAGTAGTTGGTGGAGAAGACGTTTCATTTATTTTATGCTTTTGAGTAAATGATTTTTCTGTAATTGGTATTTCAGACTTTTTACCATCTAATTGATTTGGTCGTTGAAAATCAGAACCCTAAAAATGTTGTTGTATTTATTATTATAATTTATAGACTACCTATATTAAGGATGGCAAACCTATGACATGTACACACTACTTCAGTTATCGTCAATTAAAATATAGTTTATAATTTTTATTTTACTTAACATCTACCTATATATATATATATATATATATATATATATATATGTACAAATAAGTGAACTCATTTTTAAAATTATGTGTTCATATAAATAAGTATGATAATGTAAAGCTTCGATATAATATTAAATAGCTGATTTTGATATTTTGCAATTATTTCATAATGATATAATTACTAAGATAAAATGCTAAAAAAATGTTTATATGCAGATACTAAAAAGTTGGCCATTCCTGAGGTTAGATATTTATTTATTTATTATAGAATTTATTAAGAGGTATATAAATAATATGATTAAGATTGTTATTGTATATGTACTTACAAGTTGAGGGATGACATTCGATTGGTCGATTTTAGGTCTTGAATCTTCGTAATAATAATCTGGATTATTTTGGTTCTGATAAATAATTTTATCACCTATATTGGAAATAATGGATCATTATAGTAAATTATTTTTATTAGAGATCTTACCTGTATTAAAGTGATGGAATTCATGATTTATGTTGTTCATGTGATTGTAACTGTGATCATTGGTCATCCCAGGTTCTACATTATACACTCTATTTGGTATACTGAAATACATTTAATTAAATTAAAATGTTATTTAAAAGTTGGTATATACTTATAATACCACTACACAAAAATACACACATTCCGATGAGTATAATAACTATTTATATTTATATTTAATTTAAATAATTGAAAAATATAAATATAGTATACATATACTATCAATCACTTATAAAAATGTTCCATTGTTAATGGATCCCAATGGACTGAAAATCATCGATAATTATTTATGTCTATTTTATGAAAGCTTGTACCAATAAGTTTCTTTAAAGATAAATGTGCATCAACATTTTTATTTTTTTTCATATTAATTAATCATACTTATTTTGTAATAAGTTATTTGGCTGCCGATTGTAATCAGGTAAAATTCCTCCATTGACATGAGTGAAAATTCGATTGCTTCCTATAAAATAAAATAAAAATATTTATTAAATTAATAAATAATTAATTATTAGTTAAATATTTTCTCAAATATAATTAAAATATAATTATACCGTAATTTTGATGTGCCATATCCTGACCTGTCCATTTGAGTCCTTCGCCTTCCCTACCATATTGAGAAGATGCAAAATGATTGCCTTCTCCTTTTGCATTATGATAGTTAACATTAGAACCTTAAAAATAAATTATATTTATTTCGAAGTATACTTATTTCATTGTATTAATTACTAACTAAATATTGGTTGTTGATTTTTCCATTGATATTGTTGTACTGGTTGATTCATTTGATGTCCAGTTATATCAATTGGCTTATTTGGAAACGTTTGAAGGTAATTATTTCCTTGTAATCCATAGTTTGTATCCTTTGTCAGTAATTGTTTACCTGTTTTTATAAAAATACATACATTTTATAGTAAAATTTCGGTCGTTATAATTACATTTTTTCATTTACTTGGAGTTGTTGGACAAGCTAATTCAAGAGCTTCATCACTTCCATCACTACACTGAGGTATTCCATCACATGCGTTGTAAATTGCGATACACTCACCAGAGGTTTTACACTCAAATTGATACCTACTACACCGGGTTCCTTTTAAAAATTGAGAATAATGATTTTTAAGTGGTTGGAGTAACTATAATATTAATTAAATTTTACTTTCAGAGTGTTTTTCCACCGGAACAGTTATTTCAGTTTCTTTGTTTATTGCTGGGATGGGTAACACAGTTGGTGAAGACGTTGTCAAAGAAGTAAATTTTCTAAATAATACAAAATCATTTTTTCAATATTTACAAGTAAAGATTAATTATAAAATAATAAAAATAAAATAAAAATGAGTTAAATAGTTAATACTCGTCGATAAATATATAAATAAGTATTTTATACATAGAAATAAATAAATAAATTCCTCCAAACTAAGCATTTTTTCAAATATAAATGATATACTTACTTAAGTTGAGTAAGCTCATGTTCATGTTCATTTTGCGTGAGTTTAATTTGATTTTCTAATTCTATAGCAGCTGGTCTGGATAACATTACTGCACTACTATAGTTTTTATGGATGGTGAATTTACATTTAAAATCGTCAGATGGTCCACATTCAAACATATAACATGTCCCCGGTGACTATAACATTAAAATATTAATTATGTGTATCTAGTATAATGTTTAAGTCTTATTAGTTATTGTTCAACGATGACAGTATAAAAGAATTTCTGAGCTTAGAAAACAGTGAATTGTAATGAGTAATGACTAAATAGCTAATCTTGGAATTCTTAGTACATTCTTAGTTCTTTTGTATTTACAAAAAACGCAATCTGTACTAATATCTGTATTTTAGTAGTATTGAATTATAAAAATTATACATACCACCCTTTAGACTCTACTTGTAAATGTTAAATTGAGAATTTCACTAGCTTTTTCTCGGTACTTAGTTTTAGTTTTTAATTTTTAATATTTCAATAGTAATAATTCATGAAAAATGTAAATATATTGTTAACCAGTGCTCGACTTGGCAAAATTGAAGAAGGGAGACTCTATTTACTTTGGATAAAAGAGCGTCTGCAAAACTTGTTAAGCGCTAAAATTATAACCTAATAATGGTAGGGGGACGCTAACATTTCTGAAAATTAGTTGGGATACTCCGTCCCCCTGCGTTCCCCTTCGAGTTTAGCACTGTTGTTAACAGGATACCATAATATTTTTAACCGGAAAACTGAAAATATAAATAATATAAATTTTATTGTTATGTAGGTGTCGCAAAAAAAGAATATTACCATTTCAGTTAATTTGTGTAGAAGGTAATAAATAATATTGATTTTTTAACAAAATAAGATGTATGCTAAATATAATAAAATATGAATTAATAACAGGAGCCAGTTGTTAATTTTATCTATTAACATTAAACTATAGGATCAACTAATTTAAAAATAAATATTATGTTGTTATATTCTGTATCTATTTATAACTATTAAAACTTAAATTTGAGAAAATTATATTATTATATTCATCCGCAGCCTAATTATTAACCTGCCATGGGAATATTAAAATTTGTTCGCTAGATATTAGACGGGGTAGGGCAGATCAATTTTTTTTATTCAACCTACTTTATGATAAGGTTGACCCACCCGACTCCTAGAGAGAATAAGTCTACGAATACCAAATATCTTTACCAGAGCACGAAAAAATGTCTTCCTTCCCAACTCAAGGTCAAACTTTTGAATTTATAATAAAATTAGCACAGCAGTCAGGAATACGTTTTTCAAATAATAATGATTTTGATGTATGGCATTAATAACTATTTTTTTTTTATATATTTTATTAAATATAAATACATATTTAATTATTTTACTGTTGTTATTACTTTTTTTCCGTATTGGAAATGAGAGCCAAGCAAGATCTTTTTATAACAATACCATACACTCAGAAAACATTTTTAAAGTTTTAAAAAATAATATATTACGTCATAAGCAGACTTAAGATTAGATTTTTGGGGGGGACTTCAGTCCCAAATAATTTTTAAACTTTTAAAATATTATTTTTGTATTTTTTCGTATGTATATGTATGTCTATGTTTGTTAAGTACTCATACATTACTAAATATTATATAAAGATATAGAGGTTAGGCAGAATGGAGATAAAAGATATTTTATGTAGAAGAAGAATCCAATTTCTTAATAAGGTAGGTTGAACTTAATGATTCCGCATAAACTATTTAAAAATATAACTTCCGCATAAAAAATATAGGAATATCAAAAACTTCAAGTGCCTGAACAGCACAACTTATATTAAAGTAATTCAAAATTATAAAATGTGTTTAATTATTTAATAATATCGTTTAATTGTAATTAATTGAAATATCCGATTTCGTCAAAATTTAATTTTGTTACGATTATAAATCATTTTTGCGACTTTCCAATAATTTTTTTTTTAGGTGGCTACAATGAAAATCATATGGAAAACCTTATATCTAATTTTCTTAAGTATGAGAATTTGAAAATGAATTTTTGACTACAAAAATGTAGCGGATTTTTCTCAATTATTTGGAAAACTGTTGAAAAATTCAAAAAACGACTCCTTGAAAATACCGACTAGAACCAATTTTTATCTCCTACTTTTTGTTTAGCGATAATCGGAAAACTTATTTTAGTTTAAATCATGTGGACACACGAAAAAAACACATTATAGTAAAGCAAATACTTTCTTCGTTTTTCTCAAAATCTTATAAAGAAAGTTTGATGTAACATAATGCCTCATAAACTTGTTGTAGTATTTTTTCTGTTATGTAATTTAAAACAAAAATTCGTCAAAAATAGATAGGTGTACTCCATAAAGAATTTAGAAAACGTCGGGATGCTCAGTTCTTAAGCTTCTCGTTTCATCGTTATGTCTACGAGCAGAACTGGTGTCGATCAATTCGGTAGCTCCCCGGGCATCATACGGTTTTCACTGGCGCTGTACCGCTCGTGGAGCCACGGAAAGCATAACGTGTTAAGCGACTATAGAGCTCCCCGCACCGGTCTAATGAAACTACTCATGCCTATGTTCCGCTAGCCCCATGGCTCTATCTGCCCTATGTCCTACAGTATCACGGCACGACACCACGATGTGCAAATAATAACGCGGCGCAGAAGGAACACGTGAGCCACGGTCAACTCGTGCAGTGTTGTTATTCAGACGTTTACTTTTTCCTCGAACACGAACACGTCGCAGTTCGCCGTCCGGCAGCACAGTTCCAGGCACTCGAGACGGACGCGCTTTTCCACCGAGTCGATGAACTTGGCGCCCAGCTTTTTTGAATCCTCCGTCCGGATGATCTTGTCGTCGTGCACTTCGAACCTTTCCGCGCAGCTGGACGGGTCGGTGGACGTCGCGACGCGTATCACCGCGCACGCCACGATTAAAGAACACCACGACCATTTGAAGCCGATCGCGGGGGCCATTTGAAATGCTGGTGAGCGTATTCGCACGCAGTTACGCTTCGGAGAACACGCTTTCGCTGCTGCACGGACGCTGCGCTCGCTGGGCGTAAGGCCGTACATGAACAACTGAAAGTTGCTCGATCGATGAACCGTTTTACTACACAATTACCGTGTACGGTACCGATAATACCGCCCTCTCGTGACCTGTCCGTTTTCATGACACACGCAAATTGGTAAATTATTATGAAGGGCCGTATTAGCGCATAGGCACTATGGGCACTGTGCCTAGGGCCTACGGAAATGTGTGGCTACGATTTTTTTGTAGTATGCAAATTGGTATAAAAAAAAAAAATGTTATGGTTTTCGACAATTTATAATATAAATAAAGAAATATAAATTTTATATTATATATGTCTTGGATTAAAATTAATTTTTTTTTAACATTTGTTAAAACTTTTATCGTATAAAAATTTATAATAGTTATCATATAAAAGTTTAGATTTGATTTTCATGTTGTAAATATTATTGTTTTTAAAAGCTTAACACTGCATGAGATTCAACACTTCCTTTCCCAAAGAGAAGGTTTCTTAACCGTTTAAATACTGGACAACGGCCCCACAGCGGTTTTTCGTTCTTCAATATTTCGAACTTATTGTAAAACCTCCAGATCAGTGGCTTGCCGAGATAAAAATTTTTTTAATGCCAATTGCAAAGTCTAGTTTACCATCCATCCACCCATATTTTAATTAATTTCATTTAGAACTCATATATCAATATTTCTCTACCTAAATATATACAATAATTATGTGATTTACATATTATTATCCTATAACCACCCACCCCTTTACTTGATGCCTGGGCTTCATTTAGACTTATATTCGGCACGCCACTGTTCCAGATAATTTATACTTATAGCTCTGCGATAAATGACACCACGCAGTAAAAATTTTAATTATCTTCCATAAGTGTCATAATTATTATGATTTTTAAAGTTTTTATTATCAACATTGTTTAACATACCTACATACATTTTTAAGTAATATATTGCAAAATTTTATTGAGTCTCATCATAATAAATAATCATATTTATATCATACTTAAACTGAGATACGGGGTTTTTTTTTTAAATAAACTTTGTAATGATAATTCAAATATTAATATATATTTAAGAAAGTAACAAGTTTGTTTGGCTACTGTAACATTTTTAGTAGGTACCTACTAATTTAATATCCGAAAATTTGTTCATGGAAATAAAAAGTAGAAAAAACCTGCAATAACTTAATTATATACTTAATAAAAATGAATAGCTATTAATTTCATCGAATCTTTATGTTTTACTTCACACTGAAATAAAATAATATTTATTTTTATTTTTTCAGTCAATAGTTTTAGTTGAAACAGTTAAAACATTTAACATTTTAGATAACATGTATATATTTTATTTGTACATAACAGGTTTGATTTATGTAATTTCAAAGTATTGTAATGTATCTGATCAAAATTTACAAAATATTTGAATAAAGACTTCAACTAAAAACGAGCAATATTAAATGTCTAGCAATACCAATTACGATACCTATAACACATTTAAATTAATTGGGTAATGTACATAATAGTATGAGTTATTATAGAATAGACTTTATATTTATTTTCTGTAATCAATGGTAGAACAGAGCAACCCAAAATGGCATGCATTTTATTAAGTATATAAATAAAAATTATAAAATAAAACAAATATATTATTATTATCGTTGTTGTTGTGATAATGTACTCGCAGGTATTAGATAAGGAATTGGTATTAATCTATTCAGCGTTATGATAGTCTTTTCTTTCTGTCAATAATGGTTGGTGGTGACACTGTCATGTCTGTTGCTTTCGTTTGACAGCCTGTGTACTGGGGTCGATGTTTTTTGTTTTTTATTTATTTTATTATTATTTCGTTTTTTTTTTAATCGTAGCTACTCTTACCTTATTAATGTTTTGCAAATTATCGGTTTCGGAGACGCTTTCAATGTAAAAAAAAACTATAAAGCCTAGTGGAGACAGGAATCGCATTCCGACGGAATTGTGGTTGCGTTGTTCGAATTAGATTTAGTATTTTAATTCTTTGGTGTTTTATGAAAAAATAAATAAATATAAGTGAAAAGTGACACGTTCGTCGGTTCAATAAGTATGTATTTTATTGGCAATCTCGAATGGCTGAAATGATTTTTTTTAATTCTAATAACGACTTTAAATGTTATTATTTAAAAAAAAAAACCATATTCTGTTAAGAGTGTACGTAGAATGTTAAGTCGTCCGTTTCGTTAAACTCACCGTGAGTCGTTTCGTCGAATAATAATACAAATTTTTCGGAACGCGTTGTACCATGCTTCCGACTGGCGTCTACTTGGCGGGAGCCGTTCGTTGAAAGAAAATCGTTAACCGTCGAGTCGTTGTGTTACGTTGATCGATATCGTTTGTGTTGCGCTCAGATAGCTTTATCATCTGAACTTTATTTAATACTTTCAATGCCTTTGTCTAAAGCATGTTATAAGTTTTCACATTAGTTCTAGACAACATAACTCATTTAGCTCATTCACATAAGTATTATTTGTGATAATACTACTAAATTGTTGTGAATGTATTGCAAAATGTTTCACCTATCTGTGTCTAGACACTATCTTAAAATGTTAATATTTTTTGTTTGCAATTATTTTATTATTCCTTGGGAAATAACATAATTCTATAAAGTAAAGATTAATAAAAATAATATTTTTGATTTAAATCTTATCAATTTTTACTTAATAATTTGTTTAATAATTCAATTCAACTTATGTAAACTATTTTCTATGAGATTAAATATTTCCTTTTTGAGCAATAAAATTAATATTTTGTTAAAAAATTTTATTATAATTATCTTATTTAATGTATATCTTAAACATTTTCCCTTGATTTTTAAATTTTGTAAAAGTATGAAAACATTTTTTTTTTTCTAAAAAGTTCTTAGTTGAAAATATAACATTTCCAATTGAACTAAGTGAATTGCTTCTTTTTTATTCTTTATAAATAAAGTACCCATTAGTTTAAGTATAAATTTTTAACTGATTTTTAAATTAATGTTAAAAATATTAGCAAAGAGTATTGTTCCTACTGATTCCTTTCACCCCAATTTCCTTTTGCTTGGCATTTTCATTTATAAGTCGCAACTTATCATCTGGACATTTATGAATTCAAGTAATTCTGACAGCTCGACTAATAGTATGAAGTACGTCACAAATTGTTCAATTAAATATAATATTTTTATTACTAAATGGCCATGTTATGTTGTGTATAATAATATATAATTTATTATGTTATTATATTTGTTTATGGTTTTAAATGTATTTTAATATGATATTGTATACTGTCTTATAGTATTGAACATGTCTAGAAATGAAAGACATAGAGCTGATAAAAGAGCTTCTTCAAGTCGTGCTAGATCCAAAGGTATTTTTTTAAATTAATATTCTTAAAATATTAAAATTAAATTAAAATATTTTATATATTACTTAACTATAGATTCTCCAAGAAGAGAATTAGAAAATGTAGTTAAGAGAGCTCGAAAAGACAGAGATCAAAGTCAGTATTGGATTAATAAAGTTCTTGAAGCTGAAGAAAAAGATCCAAACAGGTACGTTTTTAAAAATTATTATATCTAATTTTATATCATTTGATATATCAATGTTATTATATGTATATAGATAGGTATATAGTTTTATTCTAGAATTTTATTTTAAAATATTTTGTATAAATTGTATAAATTATAAATTAATTTTTTATAAACATTTTAAATCTGATACACTGATTATATTTTTCAACTGTAAACACTAATATTTTTGTTAAGTGTTTTTTTTTTCTGTAAGTTGAATAATTTATCATATTTAATAATTTTTTATTTTTATTTTTTAAGTAAAAAGTTAAATAATCAAAAAAAAAACAGAAAAAAACATTTCTTTTAGGTTTTGCTCTCAGGACAATAAAATTGTTTTAAGATACCACCTCCTTTTCGTTTTTGCTTTTTAGATTTAAAATATCTATTATAAAAGAACTTTCAAACATTTATATTCTACTAGATATAATTTATAAGTATTATAATTATTATTTATAATTCACCAATAGATACTTTTAAAAAAGTAATTTTATACTGTAATTTAATGGGAATTGTACTGTTTATTGGTTCAGTGGTATATATCTGATCTAAAAGTTATAAGAGCACTAGAAATGTCGAGAATTAATTGTATAGATTATATTTATTTTCAAATTCATGTACCTTTGTCAATATAAATTGCATGAAAATTTAAAAAATTTCTTCTTTTCAACAGCTTAGCGGTCCATGTATGTCCATTGCTAACACCATTATCTCATTCCATTGGATCCTATCATTCTCATCTTCCATTTTTACGTTTTCATGAATCATTTTAAGATTTTTTCCTACTACATCCTTCCATTTTATTTGGGGTCTTCCTAGAGGTCTTTTCTTCACAATTCTTCCTTCTGTAACTTGTTTTATAATTTTTCCTTCTGCCCTCCAAACATGTTCCAGCCCATTATATCCTCTTGCTTCTGCTAAACGATAGTATATTTGATCTTCCATATAAATTTTGCAAGTCATTATTGTGTCTTCTTTCGTATGTTCTCTTTTCTCTATTATAGACTGGGCCGAACATTTTTCTGAGTACTTTTCTTTCTTTTGTACATAACTTAGCGTAATCACCTTTTGTAGTAACCCACGTCTCACATCCATATATCAACACTAGTCTCAAGTAACTTGTGTATAGAGTTACCTTCGATTCTCTCGATAATAGCTTCGATCTGAGTAGTTTTAGTAGACTATAACAACATCGGTTCGCACTAGCTACCCGTTCTTTTATTTCTTCATGTACATTATTTTTACTGTTTATGTTTATCCCTAAATATTTAAACACCTCTACTTTTTCAAAATCATAAGGATCAACTCGTACACTTAAATCATTTCTGTCCTTCCGTGAAATACACATGTATTTTGTTTTCTCTTGGTTGACTTCTAAACCCATAATCTTGCCTGCTTCCAAGAATTTTATTGTGGTTCGCTCCACTTCGTTTCTAGAATTCCCCAGAATGATCACAGCATCCATATAAGCAAGGATGATTTCAATTTATTTATGTAATTTAAAAAATTACATAAATTTTAGAACATTATAGTGTTAATACCAACAATTTTTTTTCCCTATTCAAATTTGTAGTGGCAAATTTGGATAAAAAAAAAATTATACTGCAATCATTTTCTGGGTTTTTCTATGAATCAAATTCTATGCATGGAATTTTTGATAGGTTTGTATATTATATTTTAATATTTTTTTTATTTAATTTCATAATGTTTCAATAAAGCTTACTGTATACATAATTTCTATAATGAACAAATAAAATAAAATAAGTCCTGAACAAAAATCAAAATTAATTATTGATGAATAAAAATAGTTCTCAATAGAAATTAATATAAATTGAGTATTTTCCTATATCATATAAAAATACTAAAATATAGAAAATCATCACTAATTTATTTTTTATTTTTCTGACTGTTTATTATTGATAAGTTTATTTTAAACCTACATTGTTTAATAATATGTATCTTGATCATGTATTAAAATGTATATGTAATATTTATTTCAGATGGAAACATTCTGGGTTTAAAGAATTATATACTGATAAAAGGTCTAGGTCAATCAGTAGACGTTCATCAAGTAGCTTCTCTTCTAGTTGTTCACGTTCATCTATTCACAGATCAACATCTCGTAGACGACGTAAACCACTTTCACGATCACCTGATTTAAGAAGATCACGTCGATCTTTATCTTTAAGACGAGGCTCTCCTTTAAATAGACGCCGATCACCATATCGAACTAGAAAATCTCCTTTATCTTTACATTCTAGAAGGAGGCGTAGATCATCTTCAGAGTCGCCAGTAGCCAATGGTTCACGTGCCAGACGATCAAGATCACTAAGTAGAAGACGAAGAACTTCTGTAATAAGTCGCAGTCGTAGAATACCTTCACCACCACCTAGAAGAAGAGGATCCAAAAAACATGGACGTAAACGTATTCGTAATTCGTCAGCTGAGGAGGTATATTTTTGTATTTATTAGGAAAAAATTGTTGATAATGATTTAAAATAAATGTTTTAGGTACGTTCTTCAAGTGTTAGTACATGTTCAGATTCTCATTGTTCAGTATGTGAAGCCAGAATACCAATTAGTAGACGTGAACCTCCACCAGAACCTTTAGCCAGGCCAAAATCTCCAAAAATGTCGAGACCGGTTATTCCCATACATGAACGTTCTAGGTGAGTAATTATTTTTATAATTATTTTAATTTTAATAATAATATAAATTTAATTTTAGGTCAAGATCATTTTCAGTACCGAGATACACACCTGTGGTGGAAGTAAGTTCCACTACTGGATTACCTAAAACTGGCCCACCTCCAGAGCCAGTACCTACTAAAACGAAACGTATTAAAAAAATAAAATCGCACAAGAAAAAAAAATCACATAGGTCAAAGTCTTCTCAAATTGAAACAGTAATTGTTATTTGTTTATTAATCAATTGCAATTTATTTAATGTATTATTACTACTAGGCTGTTCTACATCAACCAACAATTAAAGTAGAATCAATGTCTGAAGAAGAATCAAGTGTTGGTGGTTCAGATATGCCAATGAGTTCTTCTTCTGGAGGTCATTTAACATTATCTGAACGTTTTAGTAAGATGGCTCAAATGGGCCGTGCTCATGAGTTACCACAAAGAAGTCTTCGAGTGACAACTGGTGATGATTTTAGAGTTGAAATTGGTTCACCACCTCATCCATTCCCTACTCCAGCTATAGGGTAAATATTAAATTAATATTATTAAATATTAAATTTTTGTAAAAACTTAATTTAAAATGTTTTTAGGTCATTACCAGAGGGTACATCTATTGAAGATGTGAAAGGCCGTTTTGCCTATTATAAAGATCAAGGGTATTTAGGTGATTTAACATTAACTGATTATGTCAAATGGGAAGAATGGTGGTACAAATATCAAGATTGGTTAGAAGCAGAACGTGCATATGATGCTCATTTAGATAGGTATAGAGATAGAAGATATAGAGATGAGCCTCCTATATTTTGACATGAGAAAAACCACACACATGGTCATCAGCAATACAATGAATCCGAAGATGATGGATAATATAAAATAATAACTATAAGTAAAAAAAAAAAAACAGGTTTATAAAGTTATGGTAAAAACTTATGATCTGTGCATAAATGAATATTTTAATTGTATAAGATAACCCATGAAATACTACATATACATTTGATACCAAATATACTTAATAAAACAGCTTCCCTTATTGTGTGTTATCTTCACTATAGTTATTTACCTAGTTCATTTAAGTAGGTAAACAAAATTGAGTTATTATTAATTTGATTAATTTTAATTATTTTGAATAAAAAAAAAAAGTATTTATTTAACGCAGCTTTTATGTAATATAATTTGAGTATGATGTTATTTATAGACATGATGAAAATTACTTATAAAATTAAAATGTTGTGAAAGTGAATATAAAAAATGTTTGACGAACAGAAATGTATATCAAAATATTTGAGTCATTTATGGTTAATTAAGTAAAACTATATATTATATTTTTAATTTTAGTGAAAATTAATATTCAGTTGAAATACTGTTGTTGTTAAAAAAATATTTAATATAATTGATGTTTGAAATCAATTTTTGTTTTTTTTATTAACTCTATAGATATAGAATAATTTATGCAAATGTATTATTTTGCTTTCTTAGGTAAAATATGATATCAATACAAATATCAATTTTTATTGGATTTTTTTTTTTTAATTATTTGATGTATTGTATAGTTCAAATAACAAATTAACATATTAAATAAAATCTATCTTAATGAATTAAGGTACTATTGTTGTTGAATAATATTACATGGTTGTTATTTATTTATTATATAATGTCCAACAAAATGTTTAGTTCGTAATGATTATATGATGAATACTACATTAAATTGTATGATAACATTTTAATGATTTGTTAATTTGTTAAATTTAATTTATTCGCCTATCATATTAAATATTTAAATAAACAATTTAATTTAGAGTTGGAATAAGTAACAAGCTTTAAAAGGAAGTATGTAGGCAAAATAAAAAAAAATGATTTATGTGCTATACTACATTTGTTAATATATATATATATATATAATATGAATTTTTATGTTACATATTACTAATAAATATAAATGAGTTGGGTCACCAGCAAAAATGTGTCTCTCAGATTTAACCATAATTTTTTGTACTAAAGTTAATAATTGTAATATAAAATAAAACGAATATTTAGGTAGTCAAAAAAATATATATCTAATTTTAAATTTTAAGATAAGTAATTATAATAAATACCTTATATATTAGATTTAATTACAAATAATATTAATATCCATCATATATTTTACACCAATCCAAATCATAATTTATTAAGGATGATTTTTAACAAACTTTTAGTATAGAAATATTTATTTCTTAACATTTGGTGTTGAATTCCATAAACTTCTGAGTGACACACAATAAATATTAAATAAATATGGCATGACAGAATTACTTATTAACCTTTAGGCTTTAAAAATAAATCTAATGATTATTACAAAAATGTCTTCAGTTTAATGCTTATTTTGTGTAAATAATCTTTATTTAGAATAAACTGTATAAGGATAAAAAAGGTATATTTACTAGTAAATTGTTCCAATAAATGTTTGTTATCAATTGTTTAGTAAAACAGATGGTGGAGAGATTACTGCCAGACTGTGATGTACAACAGTATAAGGCAAGCGCTTCTCTGCATTTTTCCCATGTGATTTAAGTGATGTTTTAAGTGTAATCCGTTAAATAAATATTAGATATTAAAATTGATTTTCTTTTCTTTTGTTCAGTCAATATACATTTAATAAAGTTATTAACTTGGTTGAAATAATTTCTTTATAAGCATCACTTTTAAAAATTTTAATTGTTAAAAGGGAGTGAATTATTTCTTTAATTTTTGATGAAGACACCGTAGAATAAAAATATTTGTTTTCAAATTTTAAATTAAAACTAATTTTAATATTATTATAGTATGAATAGGCATGTAAGGAAACAATATTTAAAATAAAAAAAAATTGTTTAATTTATTTTTTAATTGATTTTGATATTTTAATTACTATTCAATATTATTTAAGCTTATAATTACATAAATCACTTAAAAACTAAATATATATATTAATATAAAAATAAATAATATTTTTACCTAGGATAAGTCTTTATTATTATTATGAAAAATTTTAATATTATCCTTTTTAATATTGACTATTTTCAATTCATTGAAAATAAATTGATTAAATTCATCATTTCCACAAATGAGCCATAAAGTTTGTAAGCTTTGTTGTTGGTTAATTATTTCTTCAATAATATCATGTGAAATTCTTCCTTCTGAAATATTTTCATTGTACCAAAATGACTTTGAACATAATGACCAATTATTCTCTCTAGTTAAATATAAAAACACTGTACAATTCCAATAAGCTGAATATTCAGCTAATGTTTTGCGCATTAGTATACCATTAAGAGTTTTACATGAATAGTGTAATTTTAATAATATATCGCACTTGTCGTTATTTAAAATTGACCTTATAAGACCTAAATAGGCAGCTATACCTGTACCAGCACAAAACATAACAATTGATTCATAACCTTTATAATCAATCCCACCTGAAGGCCCACGTACAAAAATAATATCATTTATTTTCTTTTTTAACAATAATTTGGTAAATTTTCCATTGGGATAAGCCTTAATTATGACATCAAACGAACAATTATCACTCAACGCCACAGGTGTATATGGTCTAATAACTCCATCTGATTTAACGAACACGTGTTGGGTGTCAGTGATTGGCAATCGCCCTTTGCTTAGTGGGATAGCAGCGAATGTATACATGTAAACATCATTACCCAGTTCTTGAAAGGAAATTATCTTGTAATCTTTGAACTTAGTAATTGACAGTAAATCTCGTCGAAGTTGATCTCCTTCACAATTTTGACGGCGATTCCAGCGAGAATATTCTTCTTCGTATACATCCAAAATGCAGGGTACACATCCTGAACCGCAGCAATCCAATGTAGACGGGCGTTCTGGCGGAGGATCGTATATGGACATTTTCTATTCGTTACCATAAGAAAAAATGTTTTTAATCATGATTAATATTGAACTATGTTTATTAGTATTACTCTACACATTAATTCATTATGAAAGTACCAAACTGAACTCGCCAGTACTCATTGGTTAAAACTAATTAGTTACGTACTCAAAAATTAATTTACTAACAGTAGACACTGAGTTTAATACAATCATACTGACCGCAATTGCTCTGTTATCATTGTTTTTGGTTGGGTTCATGCCACATATATACAAACTATATATGTGGTTCATCCACTGTTCATAGATGTATATATATATATATATTAATTAACTGTGGGATTCATCAGGTTGTCTCATCAATACTGCATGGGTTGCATGGCTGTATCCAGCTTTTATTTTTTGGGGTGGGGGTTTCATTTTAATATAAAACTATAACATCATTTTCAAGAATTTGAATTAAATATATATATATATATATATATATATATATATTTTCACGATATTCAGGATTATCAAAAAAAGTCAATATAAATGTTTTGCAATGTAATTGAAAGTAATTTCAAGGGGAGAGGTTTGAACTCGGAACCCCTTTCTTGAATACGGCTATGATGGGTCGTATTTATCAATGAAAATAGTTGTATCACAGAATAGATTAAATAAATCATAAAGTAATAATTAAATAATTATCTTGTGGTTGCAGCGCTAAATAGTTTAAACTTATAAATTATTTCATATTATTTTTAGCTGCTGCAGAATATACATAAAACTAAATTCTATTTTAATGGCGATGGCAGAAAAATATTTTGAGGGGATTTTAAATTCTTTTCAACATAAGTACCAACTTTTTAATTTTAATAAGTAGATTAAATATTAGTTAAAATAGATACTAAATGTGTTATTATTAAGTTTATTGAAACTATGAATAATGTTCAATGATGATATGATATTATATATATAAATATATCTTAAAATAATTGTATAATTTACAAATTAAAAGAGAAATTTGAGGAAGGGATTATATCCTGTTACCCTCTCTCCTCCTCCAAGCTACGCCAGAATACTATTTTATGATTCTTTTTCTTGAAGTACCATTCAATATGTTACAAAGTAAATGACAAAATATTATTTTTTAAATTTTTTTATAAAGTTTGCATTTCATACAGAATAAATTTAGCATAATAATAATTTGTGGTTCACATTCATAAACTCCATAATTATATATATTCATTATAACTGTTTATTTTTTTAAACTTTTTAACTTAACTAGTTAATTTTCTAATAAACTTTTTAACTTAACTAGATTGACTGACAGTTGAAATAACTTAGCTTTTTATAGTTGATTTAAAAAGGATCTATAAAGTTAATAAAATTTTTTAAATTTTTCATTTATACAAAAATCATGAAAAAGTAAAATGGTCATATAGACTGTAAATCAGATGTCATATAAGATTTTGTTGGTTGGGTACCCACCTTTGGGTATTGGGTTCTGAATACAGAATGTTATGTATAAAGAATTTTAACTATAAAGATAAATAAATACGGTAGCGAGTGGCCTCTTGATGTACATTGTACAATATTATAGAATTTTTCAAACACTTCAACGCCACTGCTGTATATTATGATAAAAAATTCAATAGATTTTTTTATTATAATTTAGGAAATATATCTTTCTGAAGAACGAAGTCACTTTTTATGTAATTTACTTACTAATTAAAAAAGTAGATTAACTTTTTTTAAACTGAGTTAAGTTAATATTTTTTTTCTTATTAACTTATAACTTATTGAATTAAATTTATGAATTATTAACTGTTAATTTTTAACTTAGGTATTGATCTTGTGTTCTCTTAACTTAACTCAAGTTAATTATTTTCATTAACTTGCCCACCTTTGGATACAACTTTTTAAGTTTTTTCTATAGGCACTTATATGCTATAAAATTAATTAGTACGTATACAATGTATATCTTCACTGATTATAATTACCTACTTTATTTATTATTAATAATTGCAGACAAAGAGGAATGCAAGTAATAGGAAAGAGTGGAGAATTGCTACAAACCAACCTCAGGAGTTAAAACTACAGAAGAAGAAAAATAATTGCAGACCATTGCATCCTATATTGAAATATTAATCTAACATTTTAATGTGATCATCTATGGAAATGAGAAATTGAATATAGTGCCTGTTACCTGTAATAATAGTTTAATTATATAAATACATTTACATTATTTTTGTATGATAAATTTTATAACTTTAATGATGTAAATATCTTGTAGTTTTAAGGAACAACATAGAATAGGTATATTTTTTTTATGAAAAACGTACAATAATTATTGTTTATAGCTCATTATGATTAATATTCCAATCATCTTGAGGTTGTTTGTAAGTTTCATTATTCATAAGAACAAAGTTAATGCCTGGACCATAATATGGAATAATATAGTGGGATCCATCAGCAGGACGTACAATCTGAGTTGCTATCAGAACAACGTCAATTAATTGTCCAATGAACATGAAACCAAGCGTACATAGTTTCAGTAGACCTATTGCAGGATAACCAAGGTAGAAGCGGTCTACACCAAACATGCCCAAAAAAATTGACAGTAATAGTGTTGTATCATAGTGATAACCATTGCTAGAATATCAATTGTTAAATTAGTTAAGAATTCTTAACTGTAACATAATAACATAAACTCACGTCCATTTGCACGGGAATTCTTTCCAAAATGTTGAGTTTTTCGTTTCTAAGCACACAATACCATCACCTGCTTTACACCTTACTTGAAAATAAATTAAAAATATAAATTTCATTTAGAGTGAAAATAATTCTAACTGATAAAGTGTCAAAACCTTGAGCAATATTATCTTTAGTGCAACCCCGTAACTGCTGAGTTTCTGGATCAATTAATTCATATGTTGGGTCAGGGCATATGAACTGGCCCATCCGTAGATTTTTACAATCCGTTTGGTATTCAACTGTCTTACCAGACCCAGGAGAATGTGCAAAGTGTACAAAATAAGTCAATATGATAAAGAATAGCTCCGCAGAAGCCATGACGACCGCATTATTGTGAAAAAATAATATTCTATATTACCTAAAATATCTTTTTTATAATGTAATTATAACTGTAGACATTAGTATAATGAAAACATTTAATATATAGAATAGAATATTGCAGTAAACGAATGTTGATTAGAAATTTAATGATAAGATATCTTATTGATTAAAATGAATTCCTTATTTTTCGAGTTATATAGATAATAGAAACAGTGGCACCAATCCGTTTATAATAATTATGTCATAATATCTTTGCCAGGTTATTTTGGAGAAAATGTATTACATTTTAAAATAAAAATCATACATTAAACTACTATTTTTAAAATTTTTTTACATTTTAGTAATACTTATGAAAAACTGAGAGCGGATAAATTTGTACAAATACCTGTATGCTTGGTTTTATAAATGTTCCTAATAAATATTTTTATTTGTTTGAATTCTTAAAAATCAATAATTTCTATGATTAAACAAAATATATATAATTCTTACAGCTGAAATTTAGAATTTGTGAATCTTGTATCATCACTGTTATCTGTAACGTGCATGAATATTTAGTTATTGTATTTTTAGAAAATATCATGATGCTGGAAAAATATTTTAATGAATCGATGCTGAATGATGTACACGAAACAGTCAGGGATGTTTGGATGAGAACATTATTGGAACGTTACAGTGCGCCTGATCGCAGGTGCCATGGTTTAGATGATCTAAATGATTGTTTTCAACAATTTGAAACAGCTAAAAGCAATATAAAAAATCCCAATGCAGTCATTTTAGCTATAATATTTCGATAGTAAGTATGAATAGTAATAATTTGATGGTTAAACTAATAGATATTTTACTTTATTTTAGTTTTGAATATGACCCAAAAATAGCTGACTGTAGTGAAGCCAATATCAATCATTTTCGAAAGTTTTCAGAAGAGTCTAAACTCAACATGGTATGTTTTAAGTATATGATTATTGTTGATATATGTGATTTAAATGTGATTTTTCCTTAGGATACAGTTTTATGTGATAATGTAATTTTATTACTAAAAGTCGGTGCCATTAATAGTACAGATGAACATAAAACTGAAGGGTGTTATGGATGTGAAGATAAACACTACTTTTTAGATGTAGACATGGCCATCCTAGGCATGGGACCAGCTGATTATGAAAAATATACAAATAATGTTCGTGAGGAATATGCTTTTCTTAATGATGAAACCTATAAAGAATTACGTGTTAAGGTATGTTATAATAAGAAATGCAATGCTATTAATTAATGTTGTTTCATGTTCACAGGTTCTTGAAAGTTTTTTGCAAATACCAAATATTTATGCAACAAAGTTGTTTAGAGATAAATATGAATCTGTGGCTAGAAATAATATTCAAAGGGAGATCAATTCTCTAAAATCGGGAACTTTCTAAAAATATAACTTATCCTTAATATATTATTATTTCTTTTAATTTTATTTTCCCATTAAATTGTATGTGCCGGTCAGGGTGTTATGTTTTAAATTATTTTCCATAAAAAACACAAAAATAGAATCTACTTAAATGTTTAGTAGGTATTATATATTTATAACAAATAATTAGTATAACCAGATGTCATTATATTATTTATTTATTTTTAAGTACCATATATTTACATTTGATGGTATTATACACATTTTCAGTATAATTTATAGATTTTAATATTCAGCCTAACATTATGTAACTAATTTTTAATAGTTCATAGAATTGATAGTATTTAGTTGTAATATTGTTGTGTTTGATGAAATATCTTTGTCTATTTATGTAAATAATACAAAAAAAAATTTAAAAAAAATATTTGTAAATTATTTATACATGTTAGTGTTAGATTTATTGTTATATTAAGTAAATTAATTATTGTAGTGAAGATTCAGGGGTGTCATTTCATAATTTGCTAGTATAGGGCAAATTAATGACTAGTCCAATACCTAAAAATGAAATAATTATTACTTATTAGCTTATATACCTTTCAAAAAGCCACTTGTATCAATCCTTTAATTAATATTATTGTTTTTAAATTAATATCAAGAAAAATTTATTTCTGATTAATTTTTTTTATATATTATATACTAAAATAAACTCCAATGTATACTAAAATAAAAAATAAAAATATTAATAAAATATAATATCCTAATTACTAAAAAAATTTATCTGCCCAAATATATTTAATTACTTTAAATATTACATTACAGCGACTATTCATTTTAAAATGATTTGATAAGATATTAAAACCTAGATGTTTCAAGATCTCCCAATAAAACCTGTTTAAGTAACCCATAATAATATGTATTGCAGTTTGTATTTATGTAGGTTGAAAATAATTAATATCCAGCCAAAAACTACATGTAAAACTATAGTTGAACAAATACGTACTTCAACCTTCTTTAAGTTACATCCCTATGAACAATATATTTAAATTTTAATTAGAAAACACTTGTGTAAGAGGTATTTAAATATGGAGCATAATTTTAATAATTTTATTTCAAAATTAAACTATTATCATTGTATAATTAATTAATGTGACTAATTATTTTTAATGATAAATTTTAATACTTATTCTAATTTATTTTTTAATCGAAATTTTACTATCTCAAGAGATAGTGAAATTTTAAATTTTTGTATTATTTTCTAACTTTTTGCTAAACTTATAATTGTTTCTTAATATTGTAGATGTCGTACATTAATATTATTGAATATTTACTAATATATAAATAAATATAATTGAAATGTATATTATAAGTATGTTAAACTTAATCAAGTCATGATATTCTAATGTGTGCTTAAATTTACTAATTTCGTATTTAATATGTGTTTAAAAAATTAAAATTACTAAAGAAAGCTTATTAAATAATTTCTGCTTTTGTAGATTAAATACAATTCCAATAAGTTATTAATATTTTTTTAATCGTTCTAAAGAAATCATTTATCTGTTTAATTTATTAAATTTTATTGATATCTGATTTTTTTTTTGTAGCGATTATTTAAGTATAATTTTATTTATTGTAAATTAAATAAAATGATGGTGAATTTTTGAAACATATATTTTTATTGAAAAATTAGTCAGTTAAATTCATACTATTATGTATATATTATTGAGTTTGTCGTATCAAACTAATTCAAACTTGTTTTACTGTTGAAGCTGATAATTCTTGTGGTTTAATCACAGATAATATGAAATGTATGTGTAGTTTAACTAATAAGACTTAATTGTAATTATTTATAATAGTTATTTGTTTATATTAATTTTTATTATTTATTTTCTAAAGTCTAAAAACTCTAATTCATTAATTTTTAATAACAAATATATCTTAGACACTTTTTAGGACACTCAACCACATATAAAAAACTATTTCTTCTCTCTTAAATTTGTTTCATTAAAAATATAATAATTATAATATGAATTTGCAATGTCGTATAGTGTTCTTGTTTAGACTGATATTTATACATTCAAATATAATATGCCATGGGTTAAGTATATTAAAAATTTAATTTATGAATATACTCATTAATTTATTAATATATATTTGAATCACTTTTTTTGTGTCTACATAATTATTTACAACAATTTAATTGTAATTTACCATGTTAGAAATGTGTGTGATTTATTTATAATATACGTATTGGATTAACAAAATAATTAAAATTAAGATTGTAAAGTAGATTATTAATTATAATACAATTATTCTAATACTTAAAATAAAAAAAAGGTGTTTGTAATCAAGCGTTAATTAAAAATTAAAAATTAACTGCATGAAAATGTAAATGTTTGCATTTAAATACTACCTACTAATAATATAAAGACATTTGCTATGACATTAGATAATCTCTTAAACTTTTTTTTTTTTGTAAATACTGAATGGCGAGAGTCCCCTGAGAGCATTGCTACCTCATCATCCAGCTTTATTTATTGAAAACAAATAATTAAAAATACTGAATAAGATTGACTATTTAAATTGGATTAAATTAATACTAACAGATCTCATGTGTAGAAGGAGTAATAATAATAAATATTAGGGTTGCCATACGTCCCAAAAAATGTCTTCAAGACGTCTATACGGCTTAGAGGTTTAGAGAAAATATAGAATTATTATAATTGAATTTCGACGATTTTATCTCGGAGTACAATTTTGATCGTAATAAATTAAAAATACATAATAAAAGAAAAATATTTGTAATTTATACATATATAGTATATCATATATTTTATTTCACATAGGTAATATTTTAAAATATTATATTACCGGCCATTAATGTTCCACTCAATTTATTAAGTTATATAAGAAGTATATTACTCAGTAATGTGTTTGTTTTGTTCCGTATTTGCCTTATAAATGTATGGCAACCTTAAGTAATAATATTCATCCCTCCTTCACAAAATGTTCAAATACAAGAGTACATAACTACATAACCGGACCTGTGAAGGCCCTTCGTCTTTTTGCCCTAGTGGTCAGTGGCGGTTTTTAGGGGGGAGGCGAAGGGGGCGCTCCCCCCATTGGATTTTTTTGTGTTAACGATTATGTCATATTATTTTCACAATATAATATGTTCAAAATTTTTTTGTAATTATTTATTGATTTTTTTTTTTTGATATCAGCATGAACTTTGAATTGATAACAATGGAACAATATACGTTATTTTTAATTAAAATTTCACTAAAATATGCTTAAATTGCTTTAAATTTTTTACTTCAGTTATGTATTTATTATTCATGTTTTTGTTTAGATTATAGCCAAATCAATGGACTTTTTACTATATTTTTATATAACATAATGTACATGGTTAGAGATAAGTATGATTCAGAGGCTATTATTTTATAAAGATTCCAATAAAACTAAATGTTTAAATTATGAAATAAAAAATGAAAGTTATATGTCAATTAATTATTATAGGACCATAAACCAATTGTATTCTTTATTTGATATATGTAATTATGGTGAGTGCCAAAAAAAACCAAAAAAATTTAAAATAGCCCCCCCCCCCTTGATGTTTTATCAAAACCGCCACTAACAGTGGTGTACCCAGGTCATTATTTCTTACTATTTCTTAAAATAGAAAATTACTTAAAATAATAATGTCACCGCTACAACAATTGTAATAATAGACACAAGGAATTTGGTTTTTATGTAATGATAAAATATTATATTTTAATATTATATATATAGTATATTTATAAAAATAATATGAAACTAATGTCTAATTTTCATATTTTTCATATCATAAATTTGTATCAATTAAATCCATATCAATCAATCCAGGGACGGACGCAGAAAAATTTTTTTTGGGGGGGGGGTTTGAAAAAATAAGAATAATTACCGTCAGGCCCGTATTTAAAAATTTGGCACCCCCGGGCATATTATTTATGCCCCTCAAAAAAAAAAAAAAAAAAAAATAATTATAATAATATAACATAATAAAACATACTATTTTCTTTTTTTTATTGTTTTATTTTTTTTCATTAGGTACATCATTTTTAAAATTAATTTTGCTAAAATATTTTTCCGCCCCTGAGATTTGACGCCCCTGGACATGTGCCTAACTGTGCCCCCTCTAAATACGGGCCTGATTACCGTTATTTTTAAATAATTGACTATTGACTAAAGATTGACTATTGTCGATCGATATTACATGACCATAGAACACAACATTTAAGGAAACCGTCAATCATAATTTTTATTTATTGATAATAAGCGAATTCCAAACATGGATTATTTTTACAAAGTATTGCCTTGAGTATTGTATTGAGTTTTAAGTACCAATACCTTTTAGAATGTTTGAAAAATTACAAATTATTACAAATTCACTTATCTTAACAAAATATTTTTTTTCTAGCATATTTTAATCGTATTTTGAACAATTCATTTTTTTTAAGGTATATAAGGTAGGATAACTACGTTTGAAATTAATCATCCATTCATTTCGGTAGGGGGAGGGGGTTTTGAACCCTCAAAACTCCTCTCTGCTTCCACCACTGAATCAATCATATCATCAACTGATATATTTATTTCCTTGTAAATATGCTATAGTACAATTCCACATAAGCAATTTTGGCTAATATAAGTAAATTTTGTTCCTAGTTTAATTATTGAAGTACATAAAAGTTCTTGTAAAATTGATAGTTTTAATAAGAATCAATTTTATCTTACTACAAAAGAACAATAAACTAGATTCTCTACTTTATTTTCTATGCTGGTTCGTCTTATAAATGGTCCGGAAGAACGTTTTAACCAAGGAACTGTTAATATTATTAGTTTAATGAATAATTTGTTAAATTTGAACATATCTAAGCCAGATTTAAATATTCTGTCTAATTATTTTAAATGTAATAAAGATGAATTAATAAGTGAAATTTAAATTTTAAAAAGAGATTATACTAATCTCATAAAAAAAAAAAATCAAGCACTTTTGTACTTGTTGTTTAGTTACAGTGGTTTAAAATTTTCGACAGAGCATCTATCTTTAACGAATTTACAATTGTTTTGAAAAAAATTCTCAGTTATTCCGGTGACCAGTTATACATGTGATAGATCGTTTTCAAAGCTAACTCAAGTAAAATTTAGTTTTAGGACTACTATGTATGGCCGAAGAGCGATTGAACAGTTGTATGCGTGTTACAATCTAACAAGAATTAGTAGTAAATATTGATGTAGATCAGCGTTTCCTAAACTGTGATCCGTGGACTCTTAGGGGTCCACTCGTATACCGGAGGGGGTCCGTGAACGCAAATTTAAAATATACAAAGTATTATTATTTATTATTTTTTTTTTTAATTTTTGTTTTTACTAAGGGGTCCGCTATCATTTTTATTAACTCTAAGGGGTCCGACAGAAAAAAAGTTTGGGAAACGCAGATGTAGATAATATAATTGAAGATTTCAAAAACAGAAAAGATTATAAAAAAATGAATCATATTGTAAACATACAGTTTTATAAAATATAAACTTATTTTTGTTTAATTATCTTTTTGTATAAGTATAGATAAGTTTTTCCTTATGAATGTGTTATGTGGTTATATAGTATATATATTTTTTTAACATCATATTATATTTTAACTTGACAACCATTATATCAACTTTCAAGCTTGAGTCTAAAAAGTAAATGTTATATCAATATTTCATGATATTAGAACTAATATTTAATATTTTGTAACTAATTTGGGCCAGCAAGTTAAAGTAAAGTAAATTACTTAAATTTTTTGTTAGAATTAAGTTTTGATTAGTTAATTAATTTTTTCTTCAAAAATGACTAAGTAAATTTATTTTGAGTTCGTTGTACGTAATTTCTTGCATTAGGTTTTATTCTTAAAATAAGTACTGACTACTTAGGGGATGTGGAGGAAAAGCTCCCATGGTTCACTTTTTACGTAGCTTTCTTGCATACCTTGAACAAGAAGTCTGGCTACACCCAGTGGTGCCCATAGGTTTTCCATGAACCAGTACATTTATAATTATAGGGCCCCCAATTTTATTTTGGTCTACATTCATATGACCATATACATTTGATTGAAAATTATTTTTCCAAAGCATGTTTATCTTAAATAAATTAAAAAATATTGCAAATTCCTGTCCAACATTTTTTTAATAGGGGTTTGAATTTAAAATTTTACAAAAAAAAAAAACACTTCACCAGTTGGTTTTGCTCAGGATAGTTTTTAAATACAATACTTATTAACTATTAAAGATTTCGAGGATTGGTAATACTACAACATGAATAATAATTTTGATCAGTAATTAAATTTAAAGCATTGAATATGTGTTAACTAGTTTTACAAAATCAGTGGCGTCATTTGGTGGTGGGGGGGGGGCAACGTGGGCATTTGCCCCTGTCTAATTTTAAAAGTAGCCCGATGGGCCGGTGTCCGGTGGTTGCTGTTGAACCATTATGATATTTAATTAGTCCAAAAACATGATTATATTTATAATATTTTCTTAAAATATTATACTGTGTACTAAGAAATTACTGTAATAATGATAAATTTTTAATTAATAATTTAGTTGGAATATATTTATATTTAGACGTATGCGGGTACGTGAATGTATGGACATTGGATATGTGTCTGTGTGTGTGTGTGTGTGTGTGTGTGCATTTTAAAGGAAAAGAAACAACGATAATAATAACTGATATCCTAATCTCCGTATGGTTTTATTTCTAAAATCTAAAATTAGTACAAATTCTAAAAACAACAAGCCGATCGGCACTTCTTTTTAATCGTAGATTACTTAGATACTTCAGTTAGCTTGCGACAATCATGATGCCCTACGGTAAGCTATTGAATTATTCTGTATTGTGTTAATTCAAAAATTTTCCGTGACGCGTGTATACATTATTTTTTTTCAATATGGACAAAATACGTCTTAAAAAAAAGAAATGGGTGGTGCGGCAAAAAACCGTCGTACTAAAAAAATTAAATTACTGCAAAACGCTCAGAGATCGAAAACAATTTATGATACGTTCAATAAACAGACGAAACTTGAAACGGTAAGTAAGCAATTAAAAATAATATTATTTTGTAAATTTATGGTATACCGGTTTTTTAGATTGATGTACAATTAGTACAACAACCAGCTGTAATACAGTCGGACTAATTGAAGAACAATATTCAGTTGATTATCTTGTAAATTATTATTTTTATATACACTGAAATTATAATGTTAAATAATAGCCAATAGACATACTTATAAATATATAATATGTTTCAGAATGATCGCGATAATAAATCTGTTGATTTGAATATTGGACAACCAGATCCATTTATAAATAAAGATGATCTAATGGAAAATTTGGTATGAATTTTTATAATTAGTAAAAAAAAAAATAAATATCAATTTTAAACTAAAATCAAATCTTTAACTTTCTTATTATTCTAGGATTTAGTGCCAAGATCAGCAGTTGATGTTTCTATTCCTACAATTGAAAAACAACCCAAGTGTGATCAAGTATGTACCATACAAATAACTTTTTTACATTAAATTTTAATTTAGGGATTATTTTTAGGAATAATTTCAATTATAATTAATTATGAAAAAAAAAATTTGAATAATTCTTTCAAAAACATTGTTTTAATAATTAATATGCATTATACACAGTTCACAGAGTACAGACTTGGGTAAAATACTTTTTAATAGTATTTTGAATACTTAAAAAAAAATTGAAGGACAAGGGACAAGATTTGAAAATAACTTGCCATTGAGTGATATAAAAATAATTTTTTACTCTGCCATTGGCAGGTAAGATCAAAATTTACATAATATTATTATCTGTATTAATTTTTAATATTATTAAATTAAAAACTAAATATTAAATTTGACATGGTACTTGTCCAATATGCTATCTACCGCACGTTTGATGGTTTAGTATGCTATCTACCGTAAATATTTTAACTACCGTGTAGTTATGTATATGTATTTCTGATCGCTTCGAGGAATGATTTTTTTTAAGAACTTTTTTTAACTCACCACCACAAATTGTTTTGTTTTTAATTTTTGTACATGTTTGGTCGATTGATAATAAACCTCGTATGCTTAAACATTTTTCGCACATATTTTTATTTTGAATTATATTTTGATATAAATAACTCATAGTTGACAAACTCATAATAATAATTAATAAATAATAATAAATAAATCTCAGTAAAAATACAAATAATCGATACGCGTCACAAACACACACTAAATAGGTATAATATAAAGCTATACCTACTAACAGTGACGTATTTATGAGGGGGAGGGGGTACAGGGGTACTGGACCCCCCAGAACCTCTCCAAAAAATAAAAAAATAACAAAGATTTTTACATATTTGCAGAATTGGCTATGTTAAACATTCACAGAGAAGTTGAAATTACTGTTGACGAAGTGATAGAGGAGTTGACCAAAAAATCGAGACAACTGGAATTTATTTTATAACAATACTTTATAATATATATTCACTTGGATTTTAAATATTCACTTCGTGGAACCTATCTTGTTATTGAATCGAATACTGTGAAAGACCTCGGTGTTTTCTATGATAGTAACTTAAATTTTCATAACCATATAGATGCAACATGTTGTAAAGCTTTAAAAGCTCTTGGATTTCTTAAGCGGGTTTGTAACGAATTTAAGTTGACAACTCCACTAAAAGCCTTATATTGTGCGCTCATCAGATCTATTCTTGAATTTTCTGTAATTATATGGAACCCTCACAACACAAGCAATATGAATCAACTTGAAAGTGTCCATAGGAAGTTTTTGAGTTTTGCAGCATATCTATTAAATATTGAACATAGACCTCATGATTATGATGCAGTAATAGATAGGCTAGGCTTACAGTCTTTGGCCGATAGACGTATCACCATTAACAAGGTCTTCCTAGTAAACTCATAAATGGATCGATCGACTGTCCTGAACTTCTATCCAAAGTAAACTTTAAAATTCCCTGTGTCCAGGTCTGTTCTTCCAATCCTTTCAGTATTCCGCTGTGTACGACAAATTATTCATGAAACAAACCACTAAATAGAATGATGCGTATTGCTAATGAGGATACGTCTTTTAGTTTTTAAGTTTAGTTTTGTAATTCTTTTCTTTTGTTTCATTTATTTTTCTATTTTAATTGTTATGTATACTATTTACTTATAATATGTAAATTTATTTTTCTGTACTTTGGGCTGCTGCCCGTATTAAAATAAAATAAAATAAAAATAAAATTAATATATAATGCTAAATACAATATATAGGTACATATATAATATTACATTAGACTATACGATTATTACATTATATATTTAGTTCAACTTCCTCCAAAATCTGCATAAGGACATAACTATTACAATATAATATATAGTTTATATTAATTATGTATAAACTGTGGACCCCCCCCCATAAATAATTGAAAATACGCCACTGCCTACTAACTTACCTAACCTAAGGTTTAAATATCATACAATTTGGGGTTTTGTAAAAGCTTAATCATGATGAAAGCAAAATGATAAAGTATATATAATATACAGCATACGAACCTACGGTAGATATTATATTAAACTATCATCAAATTACAGTAGATAAAATATTTATGGTAGATAGCATATTGGACGAGTATTTTTGATATATATGTTGTCATTTTTTAACCACCATTTTAAGTTTTTTGTAGTTTATATTTATTTTATTTTTATCTGCAAATTGGTGTATATATATTTTTATTATTATTTGTTTTATATTTTTGAATGAACTGAACAATCGCTTTAGCCATTCTAGTAATGAAATCATTCTTAGTTTTAACATTTTCTTATCTTCAAGTACCTATTGATTATTTTAATTTAAACAGTCCCCATTTAGATTAATTTTGATACAAATGGCATATAAGATAAAGGTTTTTAAAAACAACATAAAAAACCATAACAAAAGTTTAAATTGCACAGGTATTATTACTGTAAATAAGGAAATAACTCCTTAAAATTAACACTACATTTTGGATTATGCTCTCCCCCAAATTAAATCCTACATCTGCTACTGCACATGGACGTAATATAATAAAATAATATTTTGTCTTTAATGTCACGGATATTTGTCTGCTTCTGGTAGTTATTAATCGTCATGTAATTAAAGCTTGCAGATCAATAAGAAATATACTAGTCAGTAGACAAGTTACTTTGTATGATGTGGTCTTGTACGCTGTTATCACCCTCGAGATCAGTGGCGGTCAAATGGGAGGAGGGGGTAGATCCTCCATGACCTTTTTTTAAATATTTATAATTCATCCATATTATACATAATATAATATAGGTATTCATCTATTTTCTATTTAAAAAAATAAATATACTGTACTTATTAGTTATTATACAGTCTCTAGGCTCGAATAAAATTAACAGTTCAAACATAAAACACTAAAATATTAATTGAAACAAACTTCTTAGATTTTTTTCATTTCCTTTATAGTTAAATTATAAGAATGTATGAAATTTAAATTTAGTACTTAATGCTTAACATAATATATTATATTATTATATGAATTGTGTAGTTATATAATTTTAGAGTCGTCTCAATGGTTTAACCACTATGGTTGTTCATCGTGAGGTTGTCAATATAACTGTAGATGAAGTACTGGACGAATTGACAAAAAAAAAAAACCAGAAAAATAGATTTAATAATATAAATATCATTAATAATAATTAATAATATTATTAATATAATATAATTTCCATGTTTAAAAATAAAGATTTTTATATATAGTGTTTGTTAAAAATCAGCTATATCCCCCCCATGAAAAAATCATATGACCGCCACTGCTCAAGACCATGATGTAGTGTGACGATTGAAAAAGTGGCTCATAAAACCTTCTTATCTGTATTATAATGTTTATTTTTAGTATCCAACCGTCTATACAGTGTAGTTAATTTTTTATTCAGGTTCAAAGGTAATTGCTGTTTTCCATTATGTTACAATGGAGAGAGGAAATGGTATAATCCTAAATAGAGTTTGGAAGTTATAAGAGCCAAAATAGGCAAAATATGTTCGAAAAAATGATAAAAAATGTATATAAAATGTATTCATACATATAAATAAATATATAAATGTTTAGCCTGGAATATAATTATATTTGTAAAGTACGACTGGTTTCGAACTAAAAATTTATCATCAGAGATATCACGGTCATTAAAATAGTGGTTGGATATGAAAAAATAAAGGAAAGAATTTATTTAGGAAAATTAATCATTTTTACATAAAGATAATTTATTTTAATATGAAAGATTATTTAAAATGAGTATATTACGAGTAGACATAAATACATTGGTTATTATTTATTTATTATCTAAAAATATATAGATAAATTATTTTTATAGTCTGTTAGTACATTTAAAATACAGTATTTGTCTAAATGATTCATCCGATTTCAAGAAGTTGTATTTATTATAAAATTTGAATAATTAGGTTAGGATAAGTTTTACAAGTTAGTCAATTACATTAAGTTTTAGGTACAATATTTAAAATGAAAATTATTCTAACTCTTTAACCTCTCAACGCTTTTTTGCATATTGCTGTCATGAAGAGCCTGTAACAACAGCATTTTTTACAATTTATATTTCAGGCGTCTCCGTAAAACACGCTAACTGTTGTCTGTGGAATAGAAAGTTCTCTGGATGCACGACGAACTGATATCTGCGGATTTCTTACAAACTTTGTTGAATTTGTTCAACATTTTCATAAGAAGTTCTTGGTGACTTAATGACTTCCCTTTACATAAATAACTGGTTTTTTGGAAGGGTTTATGTCATCTTCGAATACTTTGGGCTGGTGGAAGTTCAATGTTAAATTTTCGTTGAAAATTGCGCTGCACAATAATAACAGATTCGCACTTTTTGAAACGGAGCACACATAACACTTTTTGTTACTTCGTTGACTTTTTGATAATAATTAATTAAATCACACCACTAGACTGAGGTGCACTTTATCACAACTTATCTATAATCGATAAAAAATAAAAACTCTGTAACCCTACCATTCACATACGTTAGAGTTTCGTTTATCACAAGCTATAGGAACAATATTTATAGTTTACTAAAACCGGATAATCATTTTGAAACATACTGTATAATTAAAATTATTTTTCTTTGTCGCATTATGTATGTAAAGCGCTTCTTAAACTGAATTGATATAAATGTTATTTAGTAGGTATTTGATTTTTCCAAGTTTGTATCGATATTATTGTGTATATCATGATTATTTTCTAGTTAATAGGTCCATGCCCAAAATAACACTTACATTAGTTCAGTTTTATAAGAGTTTAATATACCTACACAATGAAATAAAGAAAAATAATTTTAGTTAAAAAAAATTTTTTAAATGTACAAACCGTTAGGAAAGAAGATGCAAGAATAATGATTTTTTTTTTAGTTAACAATTTTCACCCCTTTTTAATTTTTTTAAAATGTAGTAGGTATTTATCCGAGAAAAATAATTTGGAAATTATAATTAACCAATACGCTGTATTATTACATAGTGAGATAATTCGAGCATAAAGTCCAAGACTGTAAAAGATTATCAATGATGTACAGATTCATGGGGCTTTGCTTTCACATTCCTATGGTTGTAAAAACATGCTATTATATTCTATCAATATAAAGTATAAATAAATATATGTTGTTCTTTTTACATAGTTATCTACAAATAATAATAAAATATTTTATTACTAAAATAACTTCATCAATTGTCATTGATGAATATGGTACCTATTTTATATATTTTTTTTATAAATAACTAGCTCACTTTTGTTGTTAATTATATGTATTCACCTATATTTTAAAATGGTTTCAAATTAAAATTGATACCAATAATGTAACTACCTATTTAAACTTTGTCATTATTGTTAAAAAAATGACTTATGAGGGACTTAAAAACATATTCTGTAATTTATAATTTTATATAGATTTAAAAAACCAACTAACTTAATTCTTAAACCTCCATTAGCCCCTCTCTTGGTTAGTGATAAAACCCGCCACTGGGGGTTGCAAGGGTGATTTCTTGCGACCTCCAAATGAGGCTACTATTATGGTTTTCAAGATAGTATATTAGTATTTAGTATAATTATAATTTTATATTAATATTTACCTAATAATAGTATAAAAAGAAAGTAATTTACTAAGTAAATTACTAACAAAATATAGCATTCTTTCACTTATTTAGAGCCTTTTCAGTCATTGGGAACTATTCGAGCATTGGTGCAACTAGTTGTGAGGGCGTTTTGAGTTAATAATTAGCATCACCCAGTGAACATTTCAGGTGGGTATTCCCCCCTTTTACCGAAGAAAATGTATATCCAGTGGCGTAGCCAAGGGGGAGGCTAAGGGGGCTATAGCCCCCCCTCCCATTGGCCGTGTTTATATGTATAATGTATCTTGACTATTTAATAGAATCAATGGATGCTCATTTTAATCAAAGGCTTATTAATGTTATGCCACTTGAAGGACTTATTCTGGCCAATTTAAATATGTATGACGATAAAAATATTATAAAAGCTGCTAAAATATATGTCCAAGATCTCCATGATGATATCTCATATACAATCAGAACTGACTTGTTCATATGGAGGCAACAATGGAGTCAAAATACTATTCCAAAACCGTATTCTGCTCTTGATTCACTCTCTCATCGCACCAATCTTCGACCTAACATTAAAATACTTTTACAATTATTCGCCACGTTACCAGTTATCTCTTTCACTCTGGAAAGAACGTTTTCAGCAATTAATCGCTTAAAATTTTTTTTAAGAAGCACCATGTTGGAAAACAGACTGAATGGGTTAGCTATGACAAATATAAATAAAAAAGAGAAATTCGATGAAAGTGAAGTAATTGAATTTGCCAGGAATTCGCCTAAGAGGATGCAGCTGTCAGAGGGGAGCAAGCTTACTAGTGACTGAACTCTGAAACCAAAATTATTATTATTATTATAAATTATATATTCATAAATATTTTTAAAACTATACTAAAATGCTTGAATTACGTTTAGAAACTTGGTGGTATATGGTGGGGGGGGGTTAAGGGTGAATTCTCATATCCTCTCTTACCTTACTTATCCAAAAAAGTGGTTAGCCCCCCCCCCATTTAAAAATCCTGGCTACGCCACTGTGTATATCCTCTGCAAAAAAAAAAAAAATGTATTTATTTATTAATTAAATTCCTATGGCATACTACATATCACATACGCCCTCGAAAAAAATGCACGATACCCCCTGGGATAGAAAGTTTGAAATAAACATTGGCATCGCCAATCCCTAAATTAACATCCCTTGACAATAGAAGTATAAAATTATATTTATGCAATATTTGTTTATATAAAATCAGTATTAAAATGTAAAATGTTATTTTAATATTAAATTATTATCTTCATAATTTTTACGTAATAGGTGTATAATATAATAGTATAATATAATTCGTGTTATTTATATTGTAATTATATTGTTGTACTCAAAATAAGTAGACGAAAACAACTAATAGGGGCGATTAATGAACATTTTAGGTAATTGATTAATTTTTCACTTGAAAAAAATATAACTATCCATGATTCATAATTCATTTACTTGGGAAAAATACAATAATGTTTATTATAGTTATGACTCGCGTCTTTGTAGAAGCAGTAGAATGAATACCTAAGTAATTTATAATGTTATAAAACCTTCTTTTGAACGTATTGAGGTTTATGTGGCCCTAAAACTGTTTGTTCTCTAACCTAATAAAATATTCGTATTCTAATAGTTCTTTTATGATGTTACGGTTCCGGCACCCTGCTAGTCCCTTGTCCACGCGTTCCACGGCGTACGGTTATTATCGTGAATCCGGGGAATACGGGTCACTGGGCAACACTGACGTCGTCGGTCGTCTGCTAATCAATAACATTGGACCGAGGACGGCCCGAACAGATGATGTAAATAAACGGCCGGCGTGTTTTGACGAGTTCTCGTGGTGTCTACGGTGCCCGTAGTCAGTGTGGTACTGAGGCGTCTCCGTCTGCGGCCAGTTGCACTCGCCGTCCGTTGTGTGTCGCGTCGTTCCGTTCGTACGTTTCGCTCCGCCGTTGCCACCATCTCGGCTGCCGTCATCTGCGGATCGCCGAACGCTTCACACGATAACAGCTAGACTGCAATTATGGTGAGTACCCAAAATGATATTACAATGTCGTTTAAGGGAGGGAAAGTTTGCTATGATTTGACTTTGTACCGATTCCGCAATTGTTCGTCCAAAAATAACAACCCAGACCCGTCAAATATGTCACAATTCAGCCGTGAGTGGTGTACTCGCGGCAGCAGCAGCCGACCGACATCGTTACACGAAATCGATCGATAGATACTGCTACTACTGTTGCCGTATTTCGACGGGTCGTTGGATTAAACAAGTAACGTTTTCAGACCTTAGTCAGGTTCAGCGTGTAATCTTGTAATTAAATCCGTCGCGTATAGTGTCACGGAAGTCTATGGAGTTTAACTTTTGTTAAGGACGCGGGATTAGATAGCGTTTTACTTAAGTTTGTGTTTACTTAGTCGATTGCTTGTTAGAGATGGTTATCGTTTGTAATAAAATACATCATCGATTCGTGTAGGTATGCTCATAGGTTTTAAAGTCTTTGGAGTACTTTGGATAGAACATTATTACGTGGGGAAATTGTTACGCTTTTTATGTTATTATACTTTTGGAAATTTATAGTGTTCGCAACTTAGTAATTCTTCAACTAAGTGTTCTCCCATTGATGATTTACTATAGATGCATTGTTTCACTGTAATCAACGCCGAAAAAAGTTCCTGACAGTTTTTGTACTTTACATGATAAAGGTAACAATTGATTGCATATATTTTGCACAAAATTTATTCATTTTGAAATAGTATGATAATATGCATACATTGTATCAATAATGCATTGAAATTTATATGTAGAGTAACAACGTATCTTTATCCCGCGCAGAAAGTTGATATTTGAGTGTGTTCTACAGAGACACCTGTGTATTTTCCTTCTGATGTGTAGGTAATTTATTCAAAGTTAGGTGACTACAAAGGCTTTTAGTAGTGAACTCTATGAATAAATAATCACATTTGTAAACATTGTTGCTGTGTAACTTCCGTCCAGTGCACCAAAAGTGAAATTTTGGAGATATTAAATATTTTATTTAAACGAAAAGATGGAAGAATTTAGGTACCATTTCCAACGCGCAGTGTCTATTGAATTCTATTATTGGTATTTAGTTTTATTTCAAAACTAGAGTTATAGTTATGTGTTGTACAAACATTTGTTTATTATTAAGATATTAAGTATCTTAAGAACCGGCCTAAGAAACTATTTTAGTTCATAATATATAGGGTTAGTTCCTTATGTTTTGTAAGCATACCATGTGTATGTTAATAATTTGTACATCATGGTTTCATGTTATTAGGTGACTAATAAAAACTGAAGTACGTATTATGTTAATCATTAATTATAAAACGTTTCTTAATTTCGTTATAGACATCGTAATATAAATATAATGGTTTTGTGTGTATTATTTCAAATTCTTATATTATAATATAATATATCAATTGCAAATACCAATGTCTAGTTACCAAAGTTCAATATACTTATTATGTTTTATAATATTTATTTAAAATGTTTAAGAGTAAATATTTATTAATAATTTAGATTATAAATTAAGTTATTCAATTATAGATATTTAGTTTTTGCAATAAATTGTAGATTGCTTTATTATTCGATAATACATAGGCGTTGAATTGGTATTTAAATAGTTTTACTTAAATGAAATATGTGTCGTATTTAAAGTTTAATAAATATTACAATTATTTTTGAATAAATCTGATTTGCGATAATTGGTCGTGCACATATTGACTGATTATACTATAAAGTCGTATGGAATACATTTTAGTTGCTACAAACCATTATTATATACGTATAGAAATTAATATTAAGTACAATGTTCGGAGAAATTGTTTGGTATCTAATTTTGTTGATTAATAAAGAACGTAGATTGGCTACCAACATTGATGTGATAATTTCGTGATTATTTATTTTACTTTTAATTGTTAAAATGTCGATATCTGTTAATTTGTAATTACAGATTGGTTTCCTTTTCAATTAGATTTTAAATAGAAATATTGGAAACATTAGTTTTTTATTACAAATACTTCCCTTAAAATAATAATAGAGTTAGTAATTATCAATAAAGGTTTACTATTTATAATTATTAATAATTATCAGGGTTGACGTTAGGGTTAAGTTAGGTTAGGGCGTTTGGGGGTTACATCTATGAATGACCTTTTTATATGGTCGAAAATCATCAATAAATTAAGTAATATTAGTAATGTAGAATTTTGTTTTAGAAAGAAGTCGGCAAATTTGTATATTTATAAAATCTTCCCCATCAATATTTGCTAGTGCCGTTCCTGATAATAATAATAATAATAATAATAATATATTTATTGTTAATCTTAGTTATAAAAATGTTCATGTATGGTTTTGTCGTAATAATTTTGAGTTCAAATTAAAATAGTGTATAAATAATTGTGTTATAAGATTAAATTTGTATTTTAACGAAATCTGGATAATCTCTATTGTTTTAACAAAATGTATATATGAAAAATAAGAATATTTCGGAAGAGGGAGGAAATGAGATTCACTACGAGTATATGAAAGCTAATTTATAATTTTATGATTATTCATTAATTATTAGTATAATAAATTTCAGATTTTTTTTAATATTATTTATGAAAAAATATTATAATTTACGTGTAATTTCAGTATCAAATAACTTATATAATTTAAAAAATTAGAATTAAATAAATTATGATCATATAACTGTTATTTTAAATACTTCAAACTCATATTCCATGAATGGCATTAACTCTTCATCCGGGGAAGGATTTTTGTCAAAAAAGTAATATAAATAAACTATACATTATTAAATACAAGTATACAAATTATGTACGTTGTTACTTGAGAGAATGATTATTTTATTTGTTTTATAAACGTACGATATAGAAAATCTGCGTTCAGCAAGTCCATTATATATGGTTAGATTTAATATTAGAGTAAATTGACATACTATTGAATTTAAAGGAAATAATATCATCTGTGTTCGTACATCGGTTTTATATTATATTTTAATATCCAAGCGATTAATGAGTTTTTTAAATTTTAATATTTTATATACTCATAATTCTTTTGAAAATTAAAATATCATAAGAAACCAACTCAAAAATACAGATATTGTTCTTTCCCTTAAGTTTGATTAATTTGAATAATTGGTCGGATTATTCTAATATTTAAGCTGACGGCATAATGTGGTTCTACTGAACGCAGAATTGCTATGTTGTATGTTTTACATTTTTGACGGAGACAACTAATGCAGGTGTCTTTTAAGGTAATTTGATACTGATCGTTTTATGGAAGTCACGACTATTTCTTAATATTTTGTATTTGTTAGGTTGTGCTATTGTTGTAGTAGTTATTATTTTTATAGTTCATATAACTAGTATGAATCCTTATGGATATGTTATTAGGTCAAGTTATCGTACGTACATGTACAAGTCAGTCAAAAACGTATAGTATTTTGAGTGCATACATTTGATGTAACATAAATTAACGACCTATATTTCTGAAATTAATTAGATTTATTCGGTGAAGTGATAAGAATTTTGAAAACGAATTTGAAATCATCTTGATGTATTTAAGAATAATCAGATCCCTTTTAAAATTTTAATTTAGTTTTTTAATATTGCAGTATATGTTTTAAAATGTTTAAAATAAAAATTGTTATTTTTGGAAATGAGGGAACGAAATTGAAAATAGCTATAAGAAATAGGGTTTAGAATTCTTATCGCTTCATTATATTAAGCAGTTTGATTTCTATAAGATAAGTAGTTTTAACCCGACAAATCAGATGGTAGCCAATCCCCTTAATTATTATTATATATACATTTTTCGTAGGTATAAAATATATATACACACTTATTCTTTAAATATTTAAAGTGTATAGTTTTGATACATTGAAAAAAGTTTCGCTGTTTGCTTTATTTCTACTATTTTAATATATAAATTAAATTACATTTATTGTTTCTGATTTTTACATAGTATAAAGTGTAAGAGTATAGTGCTCTATAAAATAAGGACTAAGGATCAGCAATTTAAGTAGACAACAAAGGTCAAACTCGAACTAAAAATATTTGAGAATTAAATAATAGATAATATATAAAAATCTTGATAAAAATAATGAATACTACGTAAATTCTTAAAAATAAAAATCTGCAGCAAATCTCCTACAATTTATGCATTAGGCATAATACATAAGGATTATAACATATAAGTTATTACTTAACATCTTGGTTTCAAGCATATACATTTTTGTCATTTTAAACGAAGAAATATAAATGTATGCAATACAAAAAGTATTGTAAATTTCAAATGTTTACGAGGCTACATGGCTTTTCTATTTCTCAAAACTTATAATAATTAATAATTATAAATTACCTACCTTAACCTATCTTGTTTAGGTAGTTGATTTTATTTATTGATATTTTCATAAACACTATCCTTTTTAAAAATAACTGTTGACTGAATTATTTTTAAATATTTTTAACGGTGGGGAGGTCGCTCATACCGATCTCCCCCCCCCTGGATCCGTGGCTGTTTTACTATTAGTATTTTATTTTTCATTTGATCGTTATTTTCATATATACATCTTTAGATACGTCCTGTTATTATTGAAGTCTGGGTATTGCTTATAATTGCTAATATTATTATTATCTCGACGACCGCAGTTATCGTAGTTGTCGTTTCCGTTTTGTGTATTATGAGTTTTTATAATATGATTATTAGTTTATATGCATCACCACAATTTAAAGCTCTATTGGGACGTTAATTTACAATTGTTATGCTGTTATTATTATTAGATAATGTTCTTTATATATTACCCTAGCATCAAGATTCTAGTATTTTTTCATAATATATCATGTTTCACAGGTTTTGTTTAAAATGTTTTTAATTTATGATAATTATAGAAACTTTATAATTGTTCACATTATAAGTTGAAATCAGAACATTACCTATATATGAAAGCTCTAGTACGTGGAATTTTCGAATACATACTCACTGTAAATTGTTGGTATTTTTAT